GTATTTGTTTTCGTTTAGATGTGTCATCTATAACCGTAAAATGTTCGAAAATATTATCTTCATTATAAAATCTGATTTGCTAAATCTAAATTGACTAAGAAATTTGTTTATTGAACAAAGTCATCATTAATATGTAGATAACAAGTAAGAAACTGTTATGTCCCGATGTGCATAATGAATGGTAACTTTGGGATCCATTTATCTGTCAATACTAACCGTATATTTTTATCGTATAATTGTTAAATAACTAAACCATGCATATTCATATTCTTCTTAACATAAGCTTTATTTTGACCTATGAACTATTATTATATGTTTCACCATTCTTGAATTATGCCCTGCCTATTAATCACTACCCCCCTCATTCGCAGCGACTGTTGGCCAAATCTGGTACAAATGTTATTTTCCATTTTATGGTATGTTTTGGTCTGTTTGATTGGTATATAAACCCCGTATGCTTGAAATGTAATGATTCATATCGCAGAGGCTGAGACTTGTGTTGTGAACTTAATTGGCTGGAGTAGGCAGGAAGCGGGACCAATAAGGACTCTAGATTGTTCATACGGGTTTACGCGCCACTGATCTGATCGATAAGTCACTGCTCTCTAATTAGCGGTATCGTGACGTTATCCATTAATAGAGCACACAGTCCACAAGTCATAATAGAAACGCTTTAATCACATTAAATAATTGTATAAATAAATAACTAATATCAATTGAATATTTATTTAGAAAATCCATATTAATCTACAGCAGGGTCAAAAATTCAAATTACAATACTTACTGACTCAATATTAAAGTTAATGAAGATAAGTAAATACAATATATAGAATTTATAGGTAGATGTCTTATTTTTTAGAGACAGATTACACTATACCTCTTTGATGATCTAACTACAGAATATGAGAGAGCACTAGATGATTGTCTTATCTTAGAACATCTCATTGATGAGCATCTACGATTCCGACAATGATTGAAACTAAGATATTTAGGTATACTGATGAGTAGAACTACTTTTAGATTTAAAAGAACTCACTTGTCTTTTTTTCTCTAAATAAATAACCCGTCTGTAATGATTTCATAGAAAAATTATTTACTAAGGTTATGAAATGTTATACTCTTTGAAACAATAAAAGAAGTAACCATTCCATTTCATTACCCATAAAATTAAATTGATAGAAAAGTTTTTCACTGTATTATTCACTACAAAACTTGAATTTTTAACCTTAACATCAATCAGAATTTATATTGAAATGTTTAACATTGAGATATTTGATTCATCTCCAGTCAGTCAGTCAGTCAGCTACATGGTAGGACCAGGCAAATATATGCATCGGTCCAAATTGCCATACCTCATTAGCACAGTATGATGAACACTGGATTCATAGAAGCAGTTAATTCAACGGTGGTATGACTCATCTAACTAATATAATTACCAGTATAGGGGTTGTGGAGATTATTAAGTTTTTGATTGAGATCACGATCTCAATCAATTTGCATTCATTACGAGCCGCGAACCATTTTTAAATTGAATAGATTTAAGCAAAAGTATTTATTTCGATAGTAATTTTGTTTAACAGTAGATGAATTTAAGATGGTGCGTCGAAGTTATAATTCAATTGTATGAATTGGGAAGTTATTTAACGTGCTGAAAATAAAGTAGTAATTCGTCAGTGACATCGACTAATGACAGAATTCTTGTGATTTGTTCAAGGTAGAACAACAGCTTGTAATGGTTCAGTATGGGATATCAGTTATTAGTTCAAGGTTTACTCATGTGTATGTATCAAGAGAATAAAAGAACGCATTATATATAGTCAAAGAGTATTTTAATTTCAATAGGCGAATTAAGTAGTGCAAGTTGGATTTAGTTTGCCAAACCTCTTTATATTCATTTTATTCTCACATATGTAATTGATAAGTTTTAAAATAATAGAGTTGCGATTTATGTGAATAAATAAAGAATTCTACTCAAAAATGATTTAGTACAAACCGTAAGAAGTAGATGTTTTTTAAGTCACTACTTGTAAGTAGTATAGAGTAATATCTTGTTTTTTATGCCAAAGATCAACCTCAAAATGTGTACGAATGTTCCAACCAAAAAAAACCATAGCCGATGTAATCGAATAAATCGTAAGGTGGTAAGCCACTTTAAAATAACCGTAAACTCTGATTGATGGGTTTCAACTCAACGGAAATCATCAAGAAAACAAAAAACGTCAAGTTCAATCTCTCATGGGGTTGTAAGGCTACACTAATTATTAACCAACTATGACAAATCTGATGATCACTGTTTATGAACTTATGTTCGCTTGCCATTTTCCAACTACCGTTACTCTGAAATCTTCATAAACTACCTGCCCAGTTAGTATACAAATCTTAGTATGTGTTTGCAACTTCCCCGTTGTTGAAATTCTGGAATGTAGTTGATTTGTCTTTTTAATATAAGGGGATCATGAATAGGTTGCCCCAGTATAGCCTTTCTTTTATGTATCCAGTATTCCACAGCTGGCCGCTATTCAAATAAATTAACATCCTGACCTGTTTATCAATGTTACTAGAACAATGATAGATGAATATATATAAACAAGGATGTCATGTTCTAAATGCATGAATATAAATGAAGTGCTCATTAGAATATCACTAAAATGTCGAGATGTTGAGTTACTAAGAAGTTCGAACCTTCTTTTTTTAAGCAGGTGGTCATGTTTAGAAATTACTGAAAAGAAATATAACATAAATTGACTACAGTCAGGATTATAAATCATTGGATTCTCTCTGATCGGTCTATAAATATCCCCCTCGTCAAAACACCTGAAGGTCCAAGATTCTTTTCCATGACAGTTAATAGTTGACTATAACTGATGAGTCTAAAGCAGAGATAAAGCCATTTTTCAAGGTTTCCTTATTTTCAATAGTTCTCCAACTAGTCTAGGCTCATTATCTGCAAAATCTTTCAAATCATTCTACAAAATTTCGAATCAAGTTCAAGAGCGTTTTTTTTATCGTATTGGTTTTCCATCAATTTGCTGGATAGATTGATGAATGAATGATTTCCAAAATCCATTCAAAATAAATCATAAATAATTAAAGTTTATATGCTGGAAAATATTAAAGTTTGGCTAGAGTGATACTTTTCTAAAACAGTGAACGTGAATGTGAATAACTACAGGAATGGGCAACTGAGAAATGTTCAACAAGTAGAAGAAAATACTTGATTTTGTTTAGATTTCCACAATTAATCAATCAATACTGACTTACAATTTATTGATATATCGAAACATGTTAAAATACACCTAGTGGATTGTAAATAATAACATGATAGTCACCCAAACTACAGTTTTAATAATATCATTTTTCTGAATACCCGAATCTCATATAAGTAAAGACACACACTTAACTCATAGACTGACATGTTGTATCACTATAGACTAAACAATAAATGTGTATAATAATTAGCAAAAATATACTTGTTACTATCATAATTAGAAAATTGTTGTTTTCAGTTTGAATCTATTTAAAACAGGTTTGGTATGTATTTTTTTTAACATAGTCACATAACACTAACATGTACGCTGATTTTTAAAAATGCTGAATCAAGCATGAACGAAATGATAATACATGAGAATGTAACTAATTGTTTACTAGACAAACTATTTGTGTGAACACTGTAAAATGCAAAAAGTTAGAACGGTTGAGTGAAATATTACAGCTAAGTATCTTATGCACACCGAATGTTCTAAAACGCTGATTAAGCTTGCAATGATTACGTGAAGTAAATGAACCCAAGTTAATGATTATTACACAACCATACAATTCTAGTCATATGCTCTATTGATATCATTTTAATCAACGTCTCTACAAACCTTTTTTGGATAAAATATTGTGGTAACTTCATTTTTCGATCTGTTTAATTTCATTTTTATCTTTGCTACAATATAATGATATTGTGGTTTATGTTACTGATGTCGATAGATATAAGTAGTATGTATCATCAACCGAAAGTCAAATGGAGGCAGAAGTTTAAGAAGATCGAAGAAAAAAGAACGAGACCAGAGAATGATTAGCGTGAAAACGAAGGGACAATAAAGTCTGTATGGTTCTCAGATTCTACTAAGACATTCTGCAATTTTGTCCTCACTTGTGTTCTCGTTCACTACGATATAACTTTAAATTAACTTCTGAATAAATCTATTTACATAAGCATGTAAAATTTCATTTGTAACTTTTAATACTAAAATATTACATGTTCTGAGCAACTGATGACAGCCAAATCGTTGTTCATGTTTGTCTCATAGTCATATTAGGGAACCGAGTATAAAAATCTGTTAGAAATAAAAATGAGTTTCTGATTAAAACAGTAAAATGGCTATGATTAGAGGGTAGAAATTAAATGGTACATACTGTACAACTTTAGTTTTTCCGAGAAAAATCTTAGCTTCTATATAACCAGTGTATCTCTTCCCACTTACAATTATGTTGTCGCAACAGGTCACAAGTGATTATCAAAGTTTTTTTTCCTAATTCCATTTTAACTGTTTAAAAAAAATGACTTTTTTAATAGTTGAAATCATGAGTCAATTGAAGCTAGATCAATATGGAAAACCTGGAAGCACTGGACGACCGTTTCGTCCTACTGTGGAACTCCTCAGCAGTGAGCATCCACGACTCCGCCTTGCGAGATTCGGTTTTTTTTAAAAAAAAAACAGTAATCAAAAGTTTATGTTTACAGATCACAGATTGTTTTACATTTAAAAAAATATAATTAAATATTACATATTGTGTTAAATATGAATAAGTATACAAAATATTAAAGTGATAATTAGGATATACTTCAAAGAAGTATAAAATAATGTAACAAAAAACACAATACATTACAACATGTTCATTATGAATTAGACATTATTTCCTTCTATCAAACAAGAAGTATATATAATAAACTTAATTATATAGAAAGATAGTCCATTGTTCATATAAATACACAAATGTATATTTGTTTTTTACGAATCTATTTTAGGTAAACAAAATGGATCAGCATAATGTCCAATAGTTTGATTATTTCTAGAAAATAATGTACAATATTCTCTACATGTTCTACATTGTATATCAGAAAATTTTAATTGAGAATAATCTTTTAAAGGGATTGTAGTGGATTGACGTTGAAAACAACAATCTACGTTAGATATTAAATCTGTAACCATCATTAACAAACAATCAATATGCATCACATTTGAACAACCTGGATTGATACACTACAATACAAAAGAAAAAAAAGGATACAAATCTTGTTAAATACCATAACAAGAACAAAATATAGTTAGGTAAAGAAAAAAGATATATTTACTTCCGAATTTAATATTGAGCCAAACTCTATTTTTTTTTTTTTGTGTGTGAAGGACAGAGTGATAATAATTACTTGATTAAGCCTGTTCCCTATCGTCGGGTATAGGTCACTGTCCCGTCCTGGGTTCTCATTTTCGCTTTTGCCAAGCGCAATTCATGCTCCGATTTTCGGCCCAATGTATTGTTTGGTCTGCGTCTTTTCCTTTTGCCTTTGGGATTCGAAGTTAGGGCGCGACTTGTGATCTAGTCTGATAATTTACGCAAAGCATATATTATACACAACCGAAATCTTTACCTTATTTCCTCCTCAGTTGGAAGTTGGTTTTTTCTCTTCCCCAGTCAGTTATTGCTGATGATCTCTGGTCAATGGATCTGAGTATCCTGTATAAACGGCTATTTATAAGTACCTGTAATTTTTTGATGATGGTTGTAGTAATTCCCCGAGTTTCAACTCCGTCAAATACAACTGTTTTAATGTTGGCATTTAAGATTCTGTTTTTTGGACTTGAGTGACAGTTCTTCTAAGTTCCACATATTCTTTAATTGCAGAAAGGCCTCTCTTCATACGCCGACCATTGCCTTCAAATTCGCACCAGATTATCCGTGTTTATCGATGATGCTACCTAGGTACGTAAAGGCTCCTCACCTATTAAATTAAGCGTGATTTTGTTTTTGCCTGCTGTTTTGTATTTCAGAATATTCTCTTTTCCCCTGTGAATGTTGAGGCATACTACTATTGTGATTTTACACGGCTTCCTACATTGAGGTAATAGTTGGGAGGAAGCAAGGTTTAAAGACATGACCTGAAAGCTAGAAGTCAAGTACTTTGAACACCATACCATTATTCCAAAAAGTAATTATTTAGGGGAAAATAAGAGACAATTAGTGTGAATCAAAGAGAGAGGAGTATCAATAATCTACACTTGGTGTAACTGGAAATCAAGCGGTTAAACCTAGATTTATTAAATGACTTGGATTGCATTACACAAACTGCCATGGAAACAGACTTTGAGTAAACTAGACAGAAACATTATCTAGTTACCATTTCATTATCTACAAGATACGATAATCTGATAACTCTTTCCTTAAGAGTTAACTATTTTCTTCCTAAGAATATAATTGTTTTCTAAATTCTCCTTGTAGAATGACATAGGCGATAGCTGCTAAACAGACATCAAAATTTATTTGCTAAAAATCATTAAACTCAACGAACAATATTATCAAGATATCTACAAGCATAATATGATGCTCTACTTAATCTTGGATTTCTGAAATTGAACAATAACGTATGATACTTTGAAAATGAAACTATAAATTATCTAGCCAATTTGTTAATTAAAATAGCAAAACAACAAAATACTCTATGTTATTCAAGTTATATACAAGTTTACTTACTCGTTTATAAGTAGTAAATTCATGTGTCCATATGGGTTTATTTAAGTCACCACAAAAATCACAGATTAACGCTCTTCGTCTACACGCTTTACATGTACGTACGTGTGCTAAAGCAACATCTTGAATTGTATTTTTAAGTAGTTCCTCTAATTTTGAAGATTGTACAAGTATTAAATCCTAAAAAAATACATATATAACAAGTAGTACCAGAGGAATGAGCCAGTCTACAAAGGTATGCTGATTTAACAACCAGACAATAGGTGAGTGGAGCATATGATAAATATATCCCATGCAATTTAATCATGCATTTTACATGATGAACTGACGTCAGTTAAACAACTGTTGAAAACTAGGAAGCACTGTACAGCTGCTTCATCCTAGTATGGGACTTGAAAGCTTTGTGTAAGATCTTCAGTGTAATCTTGGATGTGTATTACTGATAAGTTTTATGATAAGGCGAAACAGGTATTCCGAAGCTTCCTGGTATACAACGGTTGCCTAATCAAAGTCAGTCTATGATGTAAACTGCAAAACTCAAAATTTTCCACATATCTCCAATACTAACAGTGTACAGTTAATCCGAATGATTTATATGTTCTATTCTTCAGTTTACAGACGGACAGGTGTAAATTGTACTGAAATGATCTTTATCAGAATGTTTGAAAGAAAACAGAGACATAGAAAGTATTCAGTTATGGAAATGATAACGGAATTGTGAAATTCAATAATCTAATGTCAAGTAATAGTGAAGCGATTTTGTTTGTAAATATTACAGTATATGCTGCACTCAAATTATTGATACTGGGAAGAAAAGCAGACAAAAATGATGAATATAATTCGAAAACATATAGGTTCGTTACATAAGAACTATCTTTGGGAAATTACCGTCAAAAAATAGGATAATAAGTTCAATATTACATCAGTTACATCACTTCATCAATTATTAGAGCATATATGCGACTTTAAATAAGAAACGTATTTTATATTAGTTTCTGTCAATAATTCCAGAACACTGTCATCTTTCTAACACTAGGAAATTTCATGTATTTACTTAATTCGCAGTGTAACTACATTATAGACCAAGGCCAATAGCGACATTAAAATAATCTTATGATTTTAAAACCACTTTTCAGTCAGTGGAAATGAAGTCAGCATAAATTGAAAGTATTTCACCATTGAAGTAATAAGACCGGTAAGACTGTGGTGATTTTTGGGAATTTATTAGCTTTTCACGGCTTATTATCAGTTTATAACCTTAAAGTTATATATATATATATATATATATATATATATACCAAGGCTTTATTTCTGGATCCTTTTTATGCCCATAAATGGTTTTGTGGAACATTCATCATCAGTGACGAAATTTCCATTAGACATTCGCAGAAGATTTAGAAAGATGGAAATGTAAGACAATGTGGGGAAGTAACGTGAAGAAATCGTTATCTCCTTTTGGGATTCCTACTTCACTGACTCATTTATTATTCACTAGATAACTGACAAAATGATTTGTTTAGGAAGCTACCATGAGCAAAGCAGATTCAAGCACTATCCCGATAGGAAAAAGCAAGAATTTAACCTGTTTCACTCTTTCATTTTCAACTTATGATGATAAAAACAAAAAAGGGTTTTCCAACTGATTCTAAATGTTCCAAGTAGCACACAAAGATCTTTCTATTTGGACTTTTCATGTGAAGTATGACACAAAAGTCATTTTCACAATTCTGATTGTCTTAGTTTTATAGTACAGTCATACATAATTGGACTAATTCTTTAGTTTATCTTGAGAGAAATGATATTCTACTTTTGTTGAGACCACGAACCGATCCAGGTTAAACAACCATTGAAAACCTGAAAGAACTGGACGGCCATTTCATCCTAGTATGAGACTCTTTAGCAGTGCGCATCCACAACCCTGAAAACAGGGACCAAACATAGAACTCGCAATCTCCTGTGCGAATGCTTAACCCCTAAACCACTGAAAAGGAATTTGATGATGTACAAGTCTTACTTCAATCCATAATCAAATCTACTTTATTCTAGAAAACATTCGAAAGAAAAATAAACTAATGATAGAAATATTGCTAAATCAAATATTATATTTTTTATTATAAAAATGAAGTGAACTGGAATTTATAACAACAAACCTACCTCAATTGAATATATATCAATATCATTGATATTTTGTAGCATATACATTCGACCATCCATACATTCACATAGTTTTTCAGTTGTTTTACCATCACATCTAATTATTTGATCCCATAACAAAACTAAAGTACGTCGAAGTTGTCTAATTAAATATAAATTCGGTATAGTAGCATAAAGGATAGGATTTAATTTAGCTAAATTTATCACTGGTCTATTATATAATGCACTAAGAAATTGATGTGTAATTTGACAAACTGCAATTAAAAGATAAATTTTAAAGAAAGAAAGAAAAATTAAAGGAGAGGAGGAAGAAGAATAAACAATTGTAAGATTAATTGAATGTTAACATTAAGAAAACTTCATTACAAGTGAAGGAGTCAGTCAGTCAGTAACAAAGTAGAACTTCGTACGTACGTACATCAGTTTAAGTTGCTATACCACATTAGCACAGAGATGCAGTTGTCGATTCAAATCCCGTAGTGGTAGAGGTAGTAAGTGAGGGAAAAAAATGTAATCATAAAATTCGATTTTGTGCTATATTGTGTAATTTATTTGTCAAGTGTATAGGTTAATATGCTCAGATTTAAGCTTTGCTATTCGTTATATATGGGTGTGAGTGAGAGAGAGATAGGGTAATTGATGATATTTCAATTAGTCAAACTGAATTACTAGAAGTGAATTAGATAATTAAATATTTTTAAGTCATTGCCAATTTTAAGTAAAGTTATACAATGTAGCAAGAAACTAGATTAGATTCTTCAAATCATGTCGTCGTCAAATCATTTCGGGAACAAAAGAAAAAAAACTTAAGAAATCAACTACTCATAGTTTGACAAGATGAAACAGAATGATCGATTGTGTTAACGTTTTCAATATTAGTATACTGTATTAAGAAATAAATTAATCAGATACAAAGTTTATCAACTGAATATTCTACATAAAAATGATAATTTTATACAATTAGTCAATTGACTAAGGATATCTAAACCAAGTCGGAAATTGAAAGAGGAATATTCCTCAATCAGTCAACACAGTCAAGAAATCATTGACAAATAGTTATACCGGTACTTTTAGTGAAATATCTATATTGGGTTAGATAAGAACATCAAGGTGATATTTATTTCACTTCTAGATCAGTTTTCTAAAGTTATGGTCTGTACAGTTAATCAAGTAGGGAATGAGACAGATATCCTCTAGTAGTGCTACTAAATGATGATTGTAATGAAACACAAACTGACCAAATTTGAAAATACGGCCAGAAATGTACTCACTCAATGACTAAGACATATTATAGTCACCACAAAAGCTAAAGGTTCAGAATTTGATTCGGTTTGGGATTATACTGTAATAATTGATTATTTCGTACACACGAAATGGAAATTTTATCGCCTAACATACATATTCAATCAATTGTCCAATGGTTCCATAAGCAAATTACCAGTCCAATTCCATTAGTTATCCAGTTAGGGTATTAAATCAATAATCCCGTAGTAACAGACATTAATTACTAGATAGAATCATGTTTTGGATAATGTTTACCATTAAAATGTAAAGTGGATATTTCATTTTATTTCAGACTAGTTATCTAAATGCACCTCCATTCTAGTGTTGATCTTCACACTGGAACTCGAACTTGTGACCTATCGTTTAAAATACCAAAGAGCTACTAACTGAATTATGTTAACCATTAATGTATTCAACAGGATTCAAAGAATTTCAAACAAGGATTGATCAAATTCACTCCTGGTTTTCGATAAGAGAAACAATGGAAATTAATAGGATTAATTTTATGTGATAATCAATAAGAAATAGAGAATAATAATAATAATAATAATAGTAATAGTAACAGTATACCTGGTTTCAGCGAAAAATCCCAATTCATTATAAGATTACGAGGAATAATTGCTTCTTGTAACTGATGACAATTAATACAATAAAAACAAGCATCATAATGATCCAGGAAAGCATTATCTAAATTTGTATAGATTAAAGAAGGCGAGGATTCGAAAGCGAAGATAATGATTAAAACAAGAATTTTAAAAAAGGTAAGAAACTTAAATTAAACATAAATTCAAATGATATGAAAAAAAAAACAATTGAATTTTGATGTAATAACTAACTTTTAAATATTTGTGTTTTGCTAACTCATAAAATTTCGAAATAAATTACAAATTCACAATGATATAATGAAGTTTCGGATATAAACTATTGTTTATTTAACAATAAGAATCAACCTCAAAGATTAGAATAATTGAGATATTGAGGAACTATGTGAGACTAAGAATGTGACTTGAGTTGTTACAATTTTGAATTCAAGAAATAAATCTGTGATTGTAAACAAAGTTGTGAATAATGGCTATTGTGAGAAAATTGTTAATGTAGTTCACATTGACTACAAATCCATGCATTAGTGTCTATGTATATGATCAATGCTTCAACAAAGCTGATTCATTTAAATATTTTAAATATGAAGCGATACCAACGGAATAACCAATGGAAATCAGAAACTATTAGTTTGTCGGTTTATATAAGTCTGAGACTCTGAATAGCACGCATCTTTAACGATACCCCCTCCCTAACTTCATGAAGGGTAATTAGATATTTAGCCACTAGATTCCAATCTAATCGATCACTACTAAAAATAAAATTGATTTACGGTATTTTATGTAAAATTCTTTACCAATCAATTGTGTATTACGATTGCATGACTTTATATGATGATTATTATATTACCAACATGTTTCGTAATTAGTGGAAAATAAAATTTTACCTTTTCGAAGACTTTAAGGAATGCGGAAACAAAACTTTTGATTTGATGGCTTCCCGCCAAATACCAACAACTGATTAACATCAAAGTGGATCACCATGTTAACTCACATGACCTGGAGGTCACACTGAGAATTCGATCGATAGGAGTCAGTCAGCATTGATACCTACAGTTTAGTGCAGACTGCTACTAAAAAAGACGACTTAACTCCATACGTCTAGGGTTTCTCACCATATTTCTCGAGTAATTCACGACAACGTCGGATATACAGGTAATCAATATATAATTATATTACCGGTATGGGGTTGTCGAGAATGTTAGGTTTTAAAGTGGGGTCATGAACCGATCGTGGATTGATTGGAGTTAGACACTAACACCATTGGATGAGGGCTGTCTTTCGCGCGTGAGATCGAAGGTCCTGGGTTCAAATCTAACGTGCGGATCGTGGATGAGCACTGCTGAAGAGTCTCACACCAGGATGAAACGTCTGCCCAGTGCCAATGGCGGTCTAACAGTGATTGGCTCATGATCTGAATTAATATATAAAAAGCTAAATATACATATATGTAAATTTTTTCACTGAGAGGGAGAGATATTGATCATTATATGTTAGAACAAAGGAACAGTTAGTACAAATTCTAAGGAACTGTGCGTATAATTTATAGAGAATTAAGAATTTTCACTAGTTGAATCAACTAGGAAAATGCATTAGTTCATTAGATAAACTGATAGATTACAAATTATACAGAACCTAATAAATTCTAGTATCATGTGGTAATATCAAAAATCAGAATTCAATGAAAGTCCTGGGTTCGATCTTTGGTAAGGTTGTGGATGCACAGTATTAACGAGTTTGATATTAGCGAAAATTAACTATCCAGTGCTTTTCGTTTTTCAATGTTTGTTGAAGTCAGTCTTCAATGCAAACTATAAAATTAAATAACAGCTGATTATGATATTTTGATTATTTCATTGTAAATAATCGTCAATTTTATTATTTTAAGTAAACAAAACGAGTCATAGTACTGGTATAAAATATCAATTAAACAAAACAAATCATTTAGTGAGTAGTAAATCAACAATAGTAATAAACACATACTTGGTTTCAGACGATCGGAACAACGTTTACAACATCCATAGAACACAGAATTTTCTCCATTTCCATACTCGAATTTACATGCGCCAGGAAATATATCAACCAACCGTGAAACATCCTAAATTTTGTTTTCAACAACAACAAAAAATAATACTAACATAGAATCAAAAGAAAACAAGATACCCAAGTAGTTCTATTTAAGTAACTGATAAAAATATCACACATTGAAATGAATAAACTAATGTCAAGGATTGGTAATGTTTGGTTAACTTCAAACCATTAAGTTATGAGTGAAACAAAATGTCGCTTTATTCTGAATTATTTGGTTATACCATTAACTTTTACACATAACAAATAAATTATATCTTGTCTGTTGAAAACTCATGATCATTAATCATGGACGGTTTAATATACCCAGATGTTTAAACTGGAAAAATAAATGATGGAACGGGATTTGAACCTGTGACTCGATGATGAAAATTCGAATGGAACATTTTATATGTTGAGATACTTTTACTGATTAACGTGCTTAAACGACTAACCTATATACGTAGGAAGAGTGAGAATAATTATCTAACAAGAATTTGTTTTATCCCACCGGATCCTTATCAGATATCTAAAACCTTTAGGATTCGAATATCCGTAAAGCAAATTCATTTCAACATTTTATGATTAAAGTCGATCACTAGTGAACATTAATATGTGTCAGTATAATAAGTAGTTAGAACTATAAAAATTCAAGCAAAAATAAAGAGTGATTAAGATGCTACAACCGAGTATCATATTTAATGGGAACTTCTATAAAATCTAATTTAGAAGGTCACTTAAGTGTTTAAAGATGAAAATTTGTTAGAAACTCGGTTGGATTGTGTTATGAGGATCTAGAGTTATAATTACTGTTATCAATGTTGATGAGTAAAGAAAATCTACATATTTCCTTGTTACTATTAGGCTTTTCATTTCTATGACAGAAATTCGAGAACCAGTTGTGAAATGTATGTTCAGCAACAGATTATTAGTTCACCAAAAGAATAGTATAAACTTTTATTAATTTATTTAGGATTGTAGACTGATTAGAACCCACAAAAGACTTATCCTCATCAGTTTTTGATATGAATAGATGTTATTTACGGTAAAAACTGAAGCATGAAAATAACTTTCAGTCACGAAGTTAAAGAACTCTCCCTCAACTGTTTAGGCCAGGGTGGTCGGGTGGTATTACTGATGCAAAAGCAAAAAGCGCGACTTAAAGCTTAGTACATAAAATGTACCTAACGATGATAGATGAAGACAAAAGACGTGAATTAAAATCATCAGAATTAGCCAAGGCAGAACCTGGCACATGTGTACATCGGTTCAAGTTATCAAACCCCATTAGCAAGGAAAGGCGACTTCACTGTACACTGATGCCTCATATAACTATAAAAAAGGATAATGGCAATCAGAAAAGCCCATTTCAAATGTAAAGAGACGAAAATCAGAAATATTTCTGCACCATGGTTTAATTAAGTTAAGAAGGGCGTTTATTTGTGTAACTATCACAACAGCGCAAGATGGTTAAAATAGAAATGTAACAATAATCGGACACCACATCATCATGTTTCTTAACCGACTAGATATTTTCTTCAAAGTTTGTTGTAACTCATCTACCGACCACAATTTTATGCACCCATAGTATTGTTTAAACGGAAGTAAGATAAAAAACAGATTACCTCCTCGGTAATATCTAATAACAAGTCGTCACCAACTATATCCCAATCGTTGTCCTGCGAAATTGTAGAAGTTTTCATAAAACAGAAAAGAAAAAAGAGACATTACTATGGAGAAGTTCATCGACTTAAACAAATTCTACAAAGAGACAAAACACACGTCGGTAACTCAACAAATTAAAAGATGAGCCCGATAAACACAAAACTTTTAGCAAGTCCAGATTTACAACACGGTCAGAAATTGTCGCTTATTATTTTCAAAATCATTTAAATTTCTGTTTGTGAGTTTACAAAACTGCTCAGCTATCTAGATCGAGATAGACAGTGCAATTGACGGGCCAAAAATATAGATGTCATCTTAAACATTATTATCAAAAATATGAAGCTACGTTAGCTGCAATAATCAACAATTTAACCGCGTGAAATTGTTTAAAAATCCTATCACATATCAGAATACAAACCAAATTGGAATAGCAGATCAGGACTCTTTGTAATTGTGCCAATGATTAAAATGTATACTGTTCTAACACTCACTAACCTCATTTGTTAAAGATTCTGTCGATACACTCCTATCTCCTTCTGGAACCAATGTAATTGAATCAGAAGGTCTAGCTGTTTAATTTCAAAAAAATATAGAAATAAAATGACACTCAACTTTTCTGTGGGAAAATACTGCACTAAATTTCCATCTAAAAATACATTGCCTCACTTTTATCCTCGAACTCTGAGAATATTCAATACTTTAATGTATATCAGGGTTGAGCTAAGAAACTTGCAGATATTCAGACGAATACATACCTAAAGACGTCAAGTTACAGAGGTTTATTGCACGAACTCATTTGAAATTTCAAGTTATTCACAAGTGAAACCTCTGGGTTTTTGCAATTAAGTTTATTTTCGAAGTGTAGTCATATTGAATAAGAATTTTTATCTTTATTTGCTTTGAAGAAGTGACTTACATTAAGTCGCGAAACGTCAGAAAAACAATTTTATACTAATTGGAATATCACAAAAATACTTATTACTACTAACATTTAAAACTTTCTATAGTAATACAATAGGTATGACAACCTAAATAAAATCATTTTATTCTTAACATTTCGATATATAACCTTGAGCATGAAAAAAGTGAAAAGTTGTCTATTACAACCAATACTAGTAGACAACAATATGTAAAATCAAAGGTACAGATTCACAGATACTTACTACCTAAACTATGGTAATTGTGGTAAACAGTGGGACAAAAGCACACTATATTTTAAAAATCATTACGAAGATCAGTACTGTTAGTTACTTCGTTCGCACGCTGAATTCAAAGTTAAATTGAATAAAGGGAGTAATTTTTAATGCTTCCGATAAAACCACAAAACACTACCATTTCTATAAAATAATTACGTTAATTTGTTATTGATATGTATCTATTGTAAAAGCATTCGTTTGTTGGTTTTAATTACAAAGTATTATTTTTTAATGCGCTAAATATAACAACATTAAAATTAATAGATAAACACAAGTCTGTTACTACTAATACTGTTACCACTTTTGATATTCTAGGATTTGCGCCTACAGTTTCACCCTCTTGTGCCAATTGGCTAATGTAACTCAAGCTATTGTACATATGCACCAGCTTCAACGTTGTGTTTGACAGGCTGAAGTAGAATTTATAGAAATATAGTAGTAGTGATGTCTCGATTACGACCAGGTTCATGAAATATCACCTTATGGGAATGCAAGAAAACTCTCAATATAACTCCTCTAAATAATATATCAAATAGAAAACAAATGATACTTGAATAAAACAAGATAAGAATAACGTCTGTCCAACGTTCGTTTTGTACAAAAGGATGAATTTTTAGATAAAATCTCAGTATATAGGTAAGATCCTTTACAGTGATGAGCAATATTCTTCCTTTTACGAGCATTTTCAAATAAAATCAGTTGATTTAAGACCAGAACAGAGTTGTAGAGGTAAATAAATCTCCAAACAAAAAGGTCCTGTAAGTTTTCGACATTGATACTGACCTCATTAGTTTTACTGCACACCCTAGATGAATGCACTCAGTCACGCAACCGAACCGAATCGCGAGTGGGTAAGTTGTGCTACGCATCGCCTCCAACTACTACCCAGCTTAGATCAAAAAGTCCCCGAATATATCTGAGGACTTATTAATCCTTGACTTCTGGTTTGACTGAGTTGATATTCTTTGTTTATACAAGTCTTACAGACAAAGGCGTTGTCAAACCTGAATATCTGTGGCATTTTAAAAGTACTAGCAACGCACCTTTGCCAGTAAACAGGAAATAGAGAAAATATCGAGAAAAACAGTACCGTTTTACCTTCGGAAGTAGTCTCCATACTTGTATTTACTTTAGAAAATTTGCACATCTCGATAGGTTCGATCCATGAGTTGCAAGCAAGTCTCAACAGGTTATTTGAACCAGTGGGATAAATTTGTTTTTGACTGATCAACAGATGATCTTCAGGTTTTCTCATAGCTTGGAACAGCATTCGCGTCGGGAAAACGGCTACATCAGTATTTTTAAAGCGAAATCAATAACATTTTTTTAAAACCAAGAGTGACTAGTCACATTTTGTTGTACAGTTATGTAAAATAAAAATAGATTTCACTGAAGAATGAGAAATGTGAGCCCCAAAACAACAAAACCTTTCAGATATTATACAAATTCTGATTCCCCCATAAGCCTGTAAAAATTTGCTAATTTCCCACTGATGTAAGAAATTACGGGATTATTCAAGCCAAATATACCACAAAAAGCTGCTTTCGGCGAGACTCTAATTTAGCGACGACCTTTGAACGGATCTTAAATGACCTTGACAATTATTAGCCAATCAGAAGACAGTTAGAATAAAGTGAGAATATATTGTAAGTAAGTAATGAATTACAGTGGATATTCTTCTTTTACATGATTTAAAAATTTGTTAAGGTTTGATAAAGGTTCAGAGGCTCTGAATTAATAATGAATACGGTATAGAAACTCGTCCATAGGGTTAGTGGTCAGGGTTGTAGCCTGTCAATAAACACCTATCTTTAAAATCCGATGTAAACCGATCGCATGTTAGCACCTTAACTTCAACCCTAATCTAACCCCAAACCCTAACCCTATGGACGAGTTTCCATACGATATGCAATATGAATTCAGAACTTCTGAGCCTTTATCAAACCTCAACAAGTTTTTAAATCATGTAAAAGAAGAATATCCACTGTAATTCATTACTTTCTTGTAATATATTTTTACTTTATACTGTCTTCTGATTGGCTAATGATCGAAATTGCTCAAACGCTCCTCATTGGCTCGTCCCTAAATTAGAGTTTCGCCGTCCCATCTGTTTCAACCTCTCATTAATCACCTCCTCTCTAAAATCCGCTGTGAACCGACCGTATGTTAGCATCGCGTGTTGAACTTGGCTCCGTGACCTTGAAATTGCTCAAACGCTTCTGATTGGCTCGTCGCTAAATTAGAGTCTCGCCGGAGAGAACATTTATGGTCCGAAATTTAAAAAAACCCTGCAGATATTTGTGCATACATGGGTCGACTGAATTTCTAAAATCAGTAGAAGCGGTTAGAATCACGAAGCTTCAAACATCGCTTTTCTCAAAGTCTGAACTTGCCATAAAACAGACATATCCAAAAAGTTAGTTTTAAAGACCTACAGGAAAAACTAAGAACTAAATTATAAGAGATATCAGATTACAAGGGATTATAATTATTTGGAACCATCCGTCGCAGCGTAACAAATGGATAAAATAGAACTTATGTCCAGAAAATCATAAAGAAAATCAAAAGACTTCGTGAACACAAATATTAAAAAGCGGCGAGACTATAATTTTTGGACGAACCAATCAGATTTACGATGACAAGTATTGGATTAATCCAATAGAAATTTCTACGCGAAATTCACCCATCCATTTACCGAATTAAAATTTTGGCATTAGAGTTGATGTCAGTTCGTGATGAAAACCCTAAATATAATTCCTAACCTTTACTATCAACTGTAAATCATATGATATATAGTTCCGAGCAATTAACTGCACATTGTATACATCAACCTTCCAAGCAAAATGGTCACTCTACATCGAGGCAAATTTAAATTTATCAGGGACTTGGAATGCATGAAAATGTCTAAAAGAAGGTGCACTACAGTAAGCCGTTACGCAAAAAAATTTTAACTCATCAGCTGATCGTAGCGCAACTTTAGGAAATACCTCCTATTTCTTGTCGGATTCAACCTTGATTGACCAAGGTTGAATGTAATTTAGCCTAAATACTTGGTGTATCTCGGAACAATGATAGTTAGTTGTTGAAAATTTCTGGGGCAGTTGCTAACGCTATTTCAAGTGTCATGGAACTACATAAATTCATCACCCGAATTCAAAAACTAGAGTTCCAGTTTCACTTTGAAAAGAACAGGAGGCTGGGTGGCCTGGGTTAGTCTTACCAATGATGATCTCTCAGTTTATCCAACATTCTTTTGAAAGCGTCGACAGGTGGAGCTTTAATCGCGTGTTGGGTTAATAAATCCCATTTGTCGATTATTCAATGGGAAATGACATAGTCAGCTGACCAGTTTTTTGGGAGTGTCCTCGTATATCCTCTACCTTAAAAGACATGAAAAGTGACAGCACATTGAATACAGAGTTGTCACAAAGTAATTCAAAAACTATGATCAAGTCACCTCTGATTCTTCTACATTACAATCAAAATAGATTTACCTTAGCCGTCAGTATATGGAAACTTTGCTATTCTGAGAGTCATCAATCGGAGGGCTCTTGACTAAATTCAGTGAAACCTTCGTTCCTCAAGACCAATAATCATTTTACAATGGAAATTTGTCTGCATGCCAAAAACGTTTGTAACAATTTCATGTCGGCTTTTTGTGAGATGATGGATGTGTGGATTGACGAATATATTGATATCAAAATAATGATAAAGTTAATAAAAATATTATGGATACAATAAATAAAACACATTTATTTAAATACGCATGACTAGGTTCATGGAAATTTACTCGGATTGTGAGTAGGAAGCGTGTTCGAATTTCGGTTTCGTGATCTGTAATTATAAGTTGTCAATAATTTCAAATATGATAACTACAAGCCAAGGTTATTTGTTTCCATAATAATCGAAACATCAATATGATTTGTAGGTGCAGGAAGCAAATATACTTTAGTCTTTTTTGACGCCTCAGCTGATAAACGATAATGAGAAGCAGCAATGTGTGAAAATCCGTGCATCATGTTAGGAGAGAACTAAAACTGTAACGAAGGGTTAGTGTCAAATTCAAACAGTCATTTCGCATCCCAAAACGTATTCGTAAAAGTTACATGAAACTCTAGAGAATGTCGATAATTAGAACAACGCATACAAGCGAACAATTGTTTTCAATTGGATCGCCATCAGGCTTTACTCTAATATACATGAATATTTCATTGCGACTATTGACCCAAATTGCCTTTATTGATTTAACATTTCCGTATAATTATTCACTTATATTAGAGTAAAGCCTGACGACGCTCTAATTGAAAACAACTGTTCGCTTATATGTGTTGTTCTAATTTTCACAATAGGAATCTTTAATATTCCAATGTCGATAACAACATAATTTGCTTGTATATTAGGTATGTTAGTGTGATAATAAGGAGTATTTGAACTATAGTACGATTTAAGAACCCCAGGAATAACGCAACTGGATCAAGAAGTACTATATAAGCACGGACGAATGTAATATACTTGGAATTCGAAATCAAGAATTCAACAAGTACAAAGGAATCGTTTATTTTTACAAACACCTCAGTTAGTTAACTGCAACCAGCTTCCCCCAAGAGTTCCGGAGGTTACACTGGTGAAAAAATTATAGCAAGAAGAAGAATATAAGCATCTAAAAGAAAAATGCTGGAAATAAAATGGTTGAATTTATCCGCAACGCAACCATGTAAACTTAATGTATCGCCCAGTGTAATAACGGTCATCTGTGCGTTCAAGTACCACAGACTTTGTCATTTCATAATGTATTTTTAATTGAATAACTAGATTATGTTGTTAATTTTGCTCTGTTGTTAACGTTTATTCGCCACGTCTGACTGCGTTACACTGTACGTTCATTGCACGCTGGAATGATATCTCAAGTCATAGTTAGCTTAACCACATAGTTTATTGTTTCCAGATAGACGTCTGCGCATGATGTTACTGAAGAAATGTTTGTTGTACTGTAGACTATGTTTTTATGAACAACCGACTGTTGTCTTCAGTTCGAAAGAAATATATATGTGTCCTCCGTCTTCTGTTAGGTAAGTTCACATATCCTATATTTCGTGTTTTGGTTCAATCGGCTGAATTATGTTCATTTTACTCTGTTTAGCAACATGTCTGTGCAAATGGAACAATAATTATGACATTTGCTTAGTTTAGTATTCTTGGTTGCCGTTATAATTTAGATTAGTCGATAGAATCATAATATACTTAAGTATAGTGCTTAAAGCCTGTAACGAAACGGATCAGTTTAGTAAGTAGAGCTGCCTGTTTTTAGTGAGTATACTGATTCAAATCAGTCTGATTAAAAATAGGGAAAAAACGTGCCTTTGATGCTGTTGCTGTCATATATTATAAGATGGCTTTAAGTACGTTTGGTGTTTATTTGTAGACAGTACGTCTAACACTGTTCATGTTTCAAGACCACTGTCATTAAACAATTTCCCCAGCAATAACATCGATAGCAAAATAGCTAAGTGTCTGAGCTTTTAGTTGTCCGCAAAACAGCAGTATACAGTCTTAGAAGATGAGTGTTCTGTGTCTCAATTAAATGCAGCTGGCTGTGGACAAATGTTAAGAATCTTTTTGACAACTGGGACTTTTAGTTTATCAGACACTAACTCTTCTTGTATGTCTTCCTGTTAAACTAGACGCAGACGCATGGGCATGCTTAAATGAGAGCAAAATAATAAAAGCATTGCGATACGGTACTAAGTCCATATTACGCTTTGCACAAGTAATAGTAGCTGACCTGATCTAATATTTATGAACTCAAGGTAAATCACAACTGCATAAATTCTTTGCTAAAAAACATGTAATTTGGTTATATATCTATTCCACATTTCTGACTAACTTCTCATTTAGAATGAAACAGGAGTGAGCCTTCACAGATCCTAAGAACTGTTTCGCCCTTAGAACTATGGCCCTATGAAACTGTTTGCGGGAGACCCGACTAACAGCAGATTATAAAAAGAATGCTGGATGTCCATTTTAGTCTCACAACCACTTCCAGTACTTTCTGAGTTACTTCATTTACCCTTTCCTTTGGAAAAAAACAACAAAAACTGCGGCTCAACATTAATAGTACAACTTTTAAACGGGGACTTCGTTTAAACCTTTGTTTGATATTCGATTATTAATGAAAGTTCCTGAATAAATTTTTAAATCTAATGCTACTTTGTTTTATCTACCTAATCGTTGCAAGAAACTCGTGATGTATGAGCCTCTAAGCATCTAGTTCATATGTAGTAAATTTAAGTGATTTAGTACATATCTTCGTCATTTTCTTGGGAAAGCTACAGACTCGGGCCCTCTCATAACTTATTCCAACCACCATGAGTTGTCACGGCAGCTGATGGATGGACATGCGTTACACATACTAACCGTACCTGCGTCTAATCTTATAGCTCCTTATTCAAATGCCATATGATAAGCAAGCAATGTCCCTACCCGCACTAATGTAACACTAGTAACTCAAAGGCACCCTGTATGGTACCTATGGTCTACGCACTCGCTTAGCTATTTAGTGAGAATATTAATACGGGCCTGCTGAAAATCCCATGAACCCCCTACTTCCATCAAAACAAATAAGTCTGTATTTGCTACGTATAGAAATTTTATTTTTCGGAAGATATAACAGTTAGAATTGGAGTAAAATGGCAGTATGCAGTAGATGCACGTAGTACATGTCTTCATCGATTAACTGAAATAGAGAATACGGATATTAGCTTAACAGGCTTATTTAGAAAGATTAGTGTCTACCTTGAACTTACTGCGCGAGAAAGTTATACTGGGACTACGGATAATGTAGGAATCTAGTCAACCAGGGCGTACGAAGCACTCAAACTGGAAGACAGTTGTCCAAAAATAATTCGAATATGAAGGTGAAAATTTACAGGTACCTTTCATCGTAAAGGTGGACATATTAGGTACCGGCTGACATCATACCGTAAAAAAACAGAAAAAATGTGCGAGTGGTGAAATATGGTCTATAAAAAAGTGAGCTTAATAACAGTTAATTACCTTTTTACTTCCTGATCATGACCCTTCGGCTTCCTTTTATGGCCAAAACAGCAAACATACACTACACACTGATAGCAGATATCCGGCTTTTCAATGTTAAGCTTGCTTTAACGCACGACGTAATGAGTACAATCCCCCCATTACTGCTATATGGTATAGTTTTCATAACAAACCCTCTGCAATAGATTGCTAGCATCTGTGACTTCATCTATGGTTATCAGAAGTCTGAGTCCTTTCGGAAACAATACTGATATCCCCTACTGCTGGGCACTCTATATTAGTTTGACTCGTTGGTGGGATAGTGTTGTCCATAGTACTGAAGAAAAATTGAAAACCGGAGATTGTTTCCTTTCATTTTGCCGCTAACATCATAAAGAACAGTTAGGAACGAACATGCGGACAGTTAGTCACAGGCGGTAGCAACAATTATTTAAGCTAAAAAAAGCTTAGGCTTTGGATATCTAGGAAACAAGTCAAAAAACCGTTTACCATTTAAAAACATAAGACTAGCCAGCTTGGCTGAAGAAATACATTCACTTGGATAGCAGCAGCAAAAACCCAGAAAGCAAAACTAAATCAGAAAAAATTTCGCTCGAACATTTAGAGTATTACATTAACTTCTGCATTTTAGCACACTGAAACATTGCATTTCATAGCCACACAAAAGAAATAGCTGAAAAAAGCACAGAACGGAGAAGGCCGACCGCCATTGCTTACAAAGATGGCGGATACAATAGTTCCCGCCTCATTCTGATTGGTTGCTAAGCTTAAGGCCACGTGATGTTTTACGGAAGACGTTGCGCCAATACAAACACTTATGTTGTTAAATAAAGCAAGAACAAATATTGGTGCAGAATAGTGTGAATTCATATTATTTCGAGGTTTCTCGTCAGCTGCTTATAAACCAAAAATGTGATAGAATTTTTACATCAAGATAGAGTGAGAACAATTGACATAGATGAGTGTAAATAACTGGGTTACAATAATAACTATATATATATATATGCTAGAACAGGTCAGAGGTCAAAAGGAATTAATTCAGGTTGGGTGGTGTAATAATGGAGTTAAATAATCATAAGATAGGTTGCGTAATTATATATATAGATATATTTATTATTGTAGCCCAGTTATTTACACTCATCTATGTCAATTGTTCTCACTCTATCTCAATGTAAAAATTCCATCACATTTTTGGTTTGTAAGCAGCTGACGAGAAACCTCGAAATAATATGAATTCATACTATTCTGCACCAATATTTGTCCTTGCTTTATTTTAATTCATAAGGGGAACCAATTACATGAAATTAATGTTGTTTTCGATGATCCATAACTTTGCATCACATTTAGAATTTCTACTGATGCCACAAGTATTCGGAGTTTAACAACGCCTTCACACGCAACACCTTTATATTGGTAGTATGCCAATCCTGTCGTATAAGAAGTCAGAAGTCAAGTTGTTTGAAGTTATATTTGACAGGTTGTTGAATAGTGTTGAATAGTGTCCGATCTAAGCTGACTGTCGGGTGTAGAGAATGTGCGGCATGGCGTACTTACTCGTGATCTGTAGCAGATGAGCAACCAAGAGCCTTGAGGTAGTTGAGTTAAGTTAAACCAGTGCGATCAGCACCAAATGTCGAAGAACTACGGGGCTATTAATTTGGAGGGTTTATTTAGCGCTACATTTCGTACAATAGTTCAGAATTCTCAGTGAAAGGCAAGCTTAGTGAATGATATCATACCGTGCATTTCGTATAATGAAAACATCGAAAATCTTTGCTGAGCTAAATACATGAACCGTATGAGCCGGTTCATATGATGGCTTAAATGAATGTTCAGTGGGAAAATTATCAGTCCTATAAACTCCCCTGTAAGCCAGTTTATCGTGCAATAAAATATCGGCTGCAGAGAATGAAGAACAAGCTTTTTACACATCATTTATTCCGAAAAATTTTGTTCATTTACGTTAACTCACACGGGAGGTCTTCAACTCTCTATAAAAACCCTGTAGTACACCACTGTTTATTAGCTGGCTAGAATTCACTGAACGTGTTGCGCACAAAAATATGAAAAGGTTTCGTCAGTTAAATCTTCGCTAAATACTGTTTCAAATCATAGTATGAAATAATTCACATACTTTAAGAAATAATGAAACGCATCAGGAGTCCTAGTTCATCAAGATTGGGTAATGTAGTTGTTCGCGGAGCGTTGAACGCATTATGCAATGAAATTTATAGAGGATGAGTACAAACTCGAAAGTATAGAGTGCAATAAGGCACGACAATGATAGCGAAAATCTATCAGTCCTTCAGTAGAATAAAGAAAATATATTCCTTGCAATTACAAGAGCAAATGACTCTTGATTCGTACTATGATGATTTCATCTTAATAATAAGCTAATTAGCCAATTTTTTCCATTTTGGTTTTAAGTGGTGAATAAATCCCTAAAATCAAAAGCTTTGTAAGTCTTCAACATTCGTTTTAATGGATTCAACTAGTTGAAGGCGCTCGGTCATGCATCCGCACGAGATTACAAGTAGGAACGCTGTGCTCAACATCTTCTGCAACAACTGGCCAATTTAGGTCAGCCGCTTGTCAATATATTGATAACCCGTCAAATATGTCTTCGAATCTACTCGCTTCTGACATTTGACTACACTGAGTGGACACAATTTATTATAGAAGGTATTACTGGTTAAAGTGTTATCAAACCACAAATACCTGTGGCATCTTTAGGTTCTTAATTGTCGCTGCTAGAAATCTGCAAAGCTGACTACATTGTGGTCAAAATGCCTAAAACGATGGCCAAACGTTGCAACCATTGGTAAGTACTCAAATAAAATTTATTACAAATTAGAAAATGTCATGGTTCATCTGAATTATAGTATATTAGTGTCAGACTACTCAATGCAAGTTAAGTACAATCAGACAGTTCCATCTGGCCGTAATAACACAAGCGTTTATTGAAATACATGATCACATTAAAATTTAGAAGAATACACAGTGCCAAAACGTATAATCAATATACTAGAGGTGATGTACATCTCAAAACATAAATATTACTACTAAAATTATTGGTACGATTATCCTCCAAAAAAGTCACTAGGAAACACAAAAACTCGAAGAAATAATATCTAATTTCTATATTAAACCTCAAATTTATCAAGACTGCTTTGAAAATCTTTGTACAATGTGTTAAATAGCAAGAAGGGAATACAAGTTCTGCGCTACTGTCGTTCTCAAGGTGTGCAGCGTTGTCTGTATCGTGTTATTTTTCGAGGTGAGCTTAACTTCAAATAAATATCTTACATGTTGTATATAAGTGGAAACTCGAATATTATGCACATAGTCGCGATATCTTTTCGCGTTGTATTTTGTGCAATCACAATATTGTGATACTATAAATTATGGACGACATTTGAGGACTCTTTATTGACCTTGAGAATGTCCATCTACTATCGAAGACTAAATGGATGTTATAATTCAGTGTGAGGAATTGAAATTGCGATTTACAGTTGATGATTAGGAATTAGATTCAAGGGTTTCATCGCGAGCTGACATCAGCTATAATGCCAAAACTCTATTTAGCCAAATAGGTGAATGAATTTCACGCTAATATTTAGGACTTTTCGACGTAAATCTAATTGGTTCGTCCATAAATTATAGTTTTGCCGGATTTTTCATCATGAACTGACATCAGCTATAGTGCCAAAACGCTATTTAAGCTTAGTCCCAACACAAACCTTAGGGGTAACACTAGGAGACCGGAAACAACACAACAAAACGGACTGTAGACACATCTACTTATCACAAGCGGTCAAGTGCTTGGATTCTCTGCCGGCTGAGCTAGTCCAAGCAGCTTCTCAGGAGCACTTTAAGAGGAAACTTGACATATTCTTAAGGAGTACGGACAGTATCTGGCTATAATTTACTACTCTTCTATCATTAAATATCTATAGGCTCTTACCTAAAGGCATCGGGATCCATCGCTATTAAACACAGAAACCCGTTACACGAAAGCTTCTATTTCATCCAGAACTATTTGAACGGTCGGGATCAGAAGATTGATAGTTTCGATTCGTGTTACTGAAAATGCCTCTAAAACGATCAAGTAATCTTTTTTGAATGCTTCGAATTGTCAATTTCATCGTACAGTTTCAATAGTAATAGGTATATTTCACCATCTGTTTCATCAAATTAAAGATAACTTCTGGTGATGGTTCTGTACTTCACTGAGGGGATCGACTGAGTAAACAAAAATACTATGTTGGGTCTGCTTTCACCTGCTAGAATTAGCTTCAGCCTTTTAGTTGCTTTGATCGTTTTCAAGTGAAAACCTACACATTTCGTAATTTGGAACTTATTCCTGTCGGAAAACACAGTTTACCTAATCTACTTGCACAGTTTTTTGCGCAAATGCTTTCACTCAAATATTTTCAATGCATTTAAACTAATTTTCTTTTTTTTTGCTACCAGCGATTTTGGTTGAAATCGCTTTTGACGACTTCTTGACTCAGAGGCCACTGCAGATATTTCATATAGCTTCTTTCAAATGCAATCATAAACAAATGCTTGTATGCAGAAATGGTTTATTAATCAACAGTAATACTGTACATTTCAGTGTAATTCCCACTAAGATTCTCAATGTTCAATATATTGAATGCTTATGATTTACTCACAGTGAATTACCCACTCTTCCAGTTAAAGGGAAATATTGACCCTTACTGTCAATGTCAATCAGTTTTCGTCTCTGTTCACAATGATCATAAAAGAGATTGGGAAATGAAGTGGACTGTATGCGAATCAATGTTCAAAGTATTTGTCCCATTGTCCATAGGATGTAATACCTTGCAACTAAGGTGTGAACACCACCTCGCTGAGTTTCGAATAGTGTATGTACATAATCGTGACTCTCCATATATTGTCAGGCCTATTTATGTAATATGTTCTGATGATAGTGGGTGGTTCCAAGCTCCTGAAGGAATGGTTCCAACGAAAGAAAGTGCTTGTAAACGTATTGGGCTAGGAATTAGATTGCTGCAAACTTTGACTGCAGAAGCTTTTCTGTCTGAACTTGGAATGAGATGCACTTTTTTAATTAAGGAAGAACTCAGTCGTAAATCATCGCGAAATATTTCAGACTGGTCTTCTGAAGCCTGTTGTAATTGTCACTACTCAAGTCTCAGTAAAACGTTTGTTAATAGTAATACTCCCGAAGATGTGTGGCAGAAGTTGGCATACGAGCTCTACGAAAAATATCCTCATAACTTCGAGAACACAAAATGGGTTGCTTTTATGGCTTGTACACGTTATCACCCTCCCAAGAAAATTAATTCCGAATCCCTGAGTTACAATGAAATACTTCTTCGGACAACAGCTCATTTCGCTCTCGGTAAGCATCCCCTTAGGGTTATGTTTTTATTATATTATACTCCGAAAAATTCTCTCCTAAAATTTTGTTGACTAAAACAATCACTTTAAAAATGAGACACAGAGTTCTAGAAGATCTAGTCTTTGAAGGTTCCCACCAATTGTCGGTTAGTTGAATAGAGGGCATATATTTCGTTCCGTTCGAAACATAGGGTGACAAATGTGGATACTTGTTTATATTGCTTTGTTAAATCAAATATGTTATTCGGTGGTTTTCTTAAAATACACCGCTGGTTTGCTTCAATTCTTGGTAGTGTAAGATTAACATTAGATCTACCTTTTGTGGAATTTCGCTTTTATTAGTGCTGATAGTTGAAATCACCAACTTATGGGGTGACTGTTAGTGAAAGGACCATACCAGCGATACCAAGAGGATTTACGAGTTATATTCGTTTGATTTAAATCCAAAATGAAAGTGATTTGCGAGACAAAGTTGAGATAAAGATAAGCACTCGAACCAGTCTGCGCATTAAAACTTGATAGGCGCATGTGTTTATCAGGAGAGTATATGAAAGGAAGTTTTCGGGCCTTACTGGGTTGATAAACCAAGAATCTATATCGTTATTGTAGGAAAGATTGATTTATAAGAATAGACACGACCGATGCTGAAAGTTGGCCGTAGTTTCAGCAATAAACCTAGTTCTTCACAGCTGATCACCATTTATACTAGTTGTATATAAGTAAAGTGAAAACTAAAAATGAGCTAACTGTGGAAGTGGATCGTTAATCAACTGAAACTGCAAGTAGTTACAGCTGGCAATGTTTCTGATGCTGACTGATAACTGATTTAGTTCGCCTTCGAATATGTATGGCAATCCATTGCCTACAAGCATTTCTAAGACCTAGTTGTATTTATTAAATAGCATATCTATCTGTTGAATCTTTATGTTTGATAAGAAGCGTTAACTTGAACCGGTGAAAATGTATAACTTCATTGGTTAGTTGAAGCAAAATAGATCACTCAAACATTAGAAAAAGTTGAAATGACTTTTATGGTTTGTAATGTTGAAGAAAAAATTTGAGAAGAAATGCGCAAAAGAAAGTGAACATGGATTTCTCAAAACTCACTGGTCGATAATTGGGCTACGTATTTTCCTGGACTTCACAAATATACACTTCAAAAGCTTTTCACTTACAAGTCAACGATTAATGATCCAGTAATTTACATGGTAAATAATCTACTCCCCAGTTTGAAAAAGAATTGCACACGAATATAAATGCCAGTGAAAAAGCACTAATAATTCTGGTTATCTCGAGTTTAACAGGTTTGATAAATACCACGGTTATAAGTTTAGTGTCCATTTTTCAATGTAAGACTCCTGAAAATTACTCACAGTGATTATTATACAAAGAAGTCACACTGAACTGTCACCCAGAATTAATAGAAGTGGATATTATACCGAACCAGACCCACACCCAGTTAGTGCGAAATTCAAATGAAAATATTTCTCATTAAGTCAGTGTATGATTTTACACTTAATTTCTTGGGAAATCGTACTTAGGGATTTAACATCCTCATCAGGATGGTAGTTTAAATTATAATACAGAATCCACATCACTCCATTAAATCAGGTGTGGGAACTCAGTTGCGATCAGTAGTCCCTGCTCAAAAGTAATGATTTTATTGACCATTTAGTTTCATTAAATTACGTTCGACGCATGGAACTATCAAAATAATGCATAATGTAAATTTTAGCAAGCTTTTTTTATTGATATTCAGTTGATCCATACATAATGATTCAGTTTAGATTTTTTTTGGTTAAATATTCTTGTCTTGTCAAATTATGGGTTAGATCCCCATCTAATAGCGTCAGACTTATTTTGATTTGTGAAACGTCCACTTTACTTTTCTTTTATGAATAGGAACAGGGGTTTAGCCTTACTTGGAACGGGGACTTTACATGCTTGGCCAGAAACGCTTAAAGATTTGCAGGTAGTTTTGGGTAATACAAGAATTGTTGATCCAACATTGATGGATGACACTGCTTATCGGTGAGTTGTAGTCGTGAGATGCGTATGTAAATTATTTCCCTCTTAAACGATAAGTTATTATCTATAATGGAACCACTGTACTGTTATATCCGTCGTCTAACTCCAATACGTTCGAATCAATAATAATCTTGATGAAATATAGTCCTATTTACTTCTGTCGACAAATTCTGTTAATAACAACATAGATATGAAAATGTGAATACAAAAAGCATTTGAGGAACACATTTTTCTGAAGTTTGATAATACAGATTAAAAACAAGTGGGGAAAGGAAATGAATGTGAATTAGATTGGCGGAAACAGCCAACTCAACGAATAATGAGCACCTGATCATTTAACTAAAATAAGCAGTATAAAAACTACAGAAGTCCAATTAAAATATAAATGACAGACAAACATAAGGCACGCATACGTAAGAGCGCACATGACTTGGCGAACAAGATTACAGATAACAAAGTACATAGGAAGATCATAGAATATCTGGTCAGGTTAAAATAGTCAGTCAGCTACAACGTAGGACCAGGCACATTTATGCATCGGTCCAAGTTGCCATACCTTATTAACACAACAAGATGGACACCGGATTCATAAAAGTAGTGAATTCAGAGGTGGTAATATATAAAAGAGAGATTGCAATAAGGATACAGTACAGGAAGAAAGAATTAGTTCGTAGAAAGAAAGATATGAAGCAATTTTAATCTCTTAGTTTAAGGGAAGATAGAGAGTGTATACACCGACGGCATTGTGATCGATTCTGGGCCATGTCACCAAGTCTCCAACCATTGGTTACACACTTAATGGTCAGACAAGACAGACTTCGTTCAGGTATGATAAGAGCTGTTATTGTACATATTACAGTTTACTTGGTTCTGTTGAACCAAGTCTGAATAGGCTGTTCAAAGCATCCATTCGTATGCATTCTGTTATATTTGAAAAAATTCAACCTGATTCCACATTTGATGTTATTTACATAAGTCAACCAAACCGACCTAACAGTTTTATTCTCCTTCTACATCCTGTTGAATAATTTTTATCATTTTGTAACTTTAATTCAAATTAGTGTGTACAAAAACAGTTTGCTGGACAGTATTTGTCACATAAGCATTACCTATGAAAAAAGCTTGATTTGCACTATTGTTTGAGGGTAATCTTTTGTAGCCATTTCTGGACCTTATTTAAAGGGAGTTCATAGCAGTTGCTATTATAACTGTTCATTTGATTAACTGAAACTAATTTAACTTTGTTCATGATTCTCAATCCGTAATTTACATGATGTTTTTCACTGGTTCCCTTGTCAGACACACTTACTGGGCGGCTTTTGCTACAGGATTGGGTGCTGTTTGGCATGAATTAGGTCATTGTTTCGGACTGGAACACTACCCCCAGGGTATAATGTTTCGTGGTGATGATATTAATTTATGTCTTGGATTTCCACCTCCTGATTCTGTTTGTCCACATGAATCCAATATGAATGGTAAATCTGTCCAAGCTACAGATCGATATGGTAGTTCGAATCCTGATAATAGACATAGAAGAGACCTTTGTCAAGTATGCTACTCTTGGTAGTGTTAGGTGATTTTTTCAGTATTCAGAATTCCGATTATTTAAAATAATGATTATTTCAATGGTCTGGTAAAAAAACAAACCGAAAATTGACTGCGCTCAACAATGACATAATTTTTATCAAATATTTTTATGCTTAACATAAGCTCTGAAAGGTTTTAAACTTAGGAAAAATAATATGAAAATTCAGTCACGTTAAGCTACTGGAGAAACCTTTTTATACCGTTATTTGACGATTGCTATTGAGAGCTTACCTACCTTTGAAACTTACACAAAAAATGTTCATCACAATATAATATGTGGAAACCGACACTAATCATCTTTTTTTTGAAGCACCAGGCAACACAACCTTTTATGCTTTAATAAACTTACAAGTTGTTTATCTCCCGCTAATAATCACAATCTAATTAGCCTGTTTTGTAATCTTCCACAACATTATCGACTATTTCCGCCTTTATTGAAATATCACTGCAGTAAAATCCCTTTATATTCATTGTCTTGTCGATTTGTCTCTCATCCGGCTACTTCCCGATTCGTATAGAGTATGCAGTCACTGCTAGGGGAGTCCTACTCACTGCTCTTTCGAGGTAGAGGTATTGTTCACGAGATTGAGAGGACGGAAAGCGAATGTCAGGAGCTTTAACCGGGTTGGTGGGTACGGAGGATCCACCTAGGGGAGTTGGAAAACCCTGATTCTCTATCTCTTCACAACCTCGTTTTTGTATGGTGCATGTGCATTTGGTCCAATCTTGTACCAGTGTATATGTGTTCAAACAAATAAATAAATATTATGTGTTAGCCGATAACCTACATCCATTTACTGTCATTAATATAGTTTGGTAATCAAAGATAAAGTCTATTTGTATTAAAATAATCGTTTAATTCTCATACGTAAGCCAAGTAAAACATTTGAATATCGCACGTAATTTACAAAGCATATTTATGCCTTTCAAATATTAATGTGTATTTTATCATCTGACAAACGATTATATGGTAAGCGTTTTTTATTAGATTCAACCCCCGAAGTCAATGTCCCGTGCTATACAATTTCATCGCATAGTGCAATTTCATCCAATAAAGTCTCGTTTACATTCCTCGGATCAAACCACAAATGAAGAAATGAAATTTAAGCGATGGGGATTTTGTAAGTCTTTATGGCATCAAGGTTCTGCTTTTTGGGGAACAAAGGCACTTTCAAAGCTACTTTCATGTCCGTAAGTTATATATGGAAGCTTATCCTTGAACAATACAGATAAAACCCCATGTTATATTTTAAGACGTTCAGTACTTTTATTCGTGGTCATAATACATTTGTATTGGAAATGTTTTTTGATTAAGATTATTTTCATCCATTCTTCAACCCTTGATTTGTGCACTTAATGTAGATATGCAATTCTTTTATGTAAAACATCATCATGTTTATCATAACTTTTTAACTTTTTTTTAGATGGATCATCGAAACTCCAACTTTAGATGAAGACAAACTACCTGTTCAGAAATGACTTTAGTTATACAGACGATTTCTTCCATTTTTAAATTCCCTTTGTCCATATATGTAAATCCCATGTAAATTACAAGTGTAGTGTAAATTATTATGTTGAATTTTGTATAAATAAAAATTACACATTGACATGCCTCACTTATTAGTCCACTGTTAGCATTTGATTCTCACATAGAAGGTGCAATTTTACATGTAGTGTTAAGCAACTTGGAAATGTAGTGCATCAGGTAATTTTGGAGTAGATAGACTAAAATATTTACAATTACATCGTATTTTTTTAAATTCTTACTGTTGATTAAAATGTATCAAGATGCTGACATAACTTGACGTACATTATTTACATATTAAACACTAGTAAAGGCATCCGCCAGGGCTGAGAATCTTCATCATCATTCAAAATGCAAAATTATTGAGAGACTTAGTGATTATTGAGGCTTGTCATTAAGTTATCTGTGTTAAAGCAAGAAAGTTCTCCATTTTTATAGAAAATTTCTTTCAGATAATTCAATGGCGCTATTATGAATATCACTGCTTCACCGTTTAGATTATAGCACTTGTATATTTCTCACAGTCTCTTTAGTCATATTGTTCCGGTTAACAACATCTAAGTATATGTAGTAAACAGCACAAAATATACATTAAACTGAGTTTCGTTGTTGTGCCAATTGGTTTGCTTTCCATACCCAAATTTTTACACTCTTTTTCTAGAGATCCCACCCAATGACCACTTAATATGTGCCGTGCATAGTTAGAAATAAAACTCTCCTGCCCCTACATCTACAGTGTTTCTGGAATTTGCTTTCTATGCATATTGTGCAGATTAGAGCCATAAAATTAAGAAATGTTTGGATCAATCATCCGTTTTTAAGAAAAATTAGGATTTAATATACAAACTATTGGCGTTAACTGTTGCATTTCCGTTCATCTTGCAAGTAATCCATTTATGGCCATTATTATTTTCGTATATCATTGAATCTTTTTCTCAAAATGTGGTCTGATCGATGGGAATAGACTTCTTAAATCGGTGACAAAATTCATTTGGCAATAGAAATACACAAATACTGTGAAACGTAGAGCTAAAATAGAACCATAAATAAATATTTATAAGCACAGATCAAGTCATTAACTATGCTAGTAAAGATATATCAGATTGAATGTTAGAAAGGCTTAAGCAATGTTGAATAAATTTGCACAAAATTGATGAGTTTATAAATATGTATTTGATATGGACTACCGTTTTATCAAACGTAATCCTGTTTCTTGGAATAATATGCATCATCTCATCTTACGCCTGTTACCCATCGTGTAGCACAGGACACCCACCAGAAATCTCCAACCGACTCTGTCCTGGGCTCATAATACAAAAATATGTATCATGATTAAAGGTATAATTCTACAGTCTCACTTCTACCTTAACCACCACCCTTATTAAACTAAATCAGCATAAGTTGCATAAATACCTATTTCATATTTGTCAACCATCATGTTTTACGTTATCTCTCAAACTGGATTGAATTATATATGAAAGCTGAAGCATCTTTTACAATAAATTTGATATTTTGTGTGAATAACAGTTTTCAAAGATTATCACCTAATTATGCAACATTAATGTTTTACGTAGTGAATTTTCTTTAGCCCATAATACAGAAAATGTGGTCGGATATAATTGGCCTCAGAGAGTGTATTACTAAGAAGAAATAAATAAAGCTCATTACTTATTCATTTATATAAACATTCATCAAAATTTGGACGAACAGTGTGCCATAAATCGGGTGCCAAGTATATATAAGGAAATATTTCCTTGAAGACGCTCAGACTAGTTTTCCGGTCGAAGTGATGGAGTTGTTTTAATTTCAATAGTCGAGATTATTTCAAATTATCACTTACATGCAATATCATTTTCGCAATAGCTTTTCGAATTAAATCAGTTTATCATGAAAACTACTGAAGCATCAGAATAATCCAACTGTGAATGACTTTTATTTTAGGTTATTCGAGTTATAGATACCCAGTTAGTTTATCCATCTAAAACATGTCTTTTACTTGCGCATAACTTATCTACTAATCTATCTGATGAATCACTAGTTTTTAAAACTTCTATTCGGCTCACATTTTTACGATTAGGACGTTAGATTACAACCTCAGTTCCCTCTTCACAGAAGAGGTAATACCACAAATTTGTTAAAAAGCAAAAATCTCATCTTTAAATTTCACAGAACATAGGTCAAATTACATCTTGTCTTTATTCTGTTTCCAGTTCGTGATCAAGCCTATTTTCCAAAAATCACGGACTAGTATGAAACAAGGCATACATTACAAGTTAACGTATACTAATGGTGACCTACTGACAGAGCAACCTATTGTACACATTAATAAACAAAAACAGTGTAATTTATTAATAAGCCTGTTATTCTTCAAATACATCATTGAAAGTAAACGTGGAAAAATATTTTCAGAACAAATGGACCTTTGTCCAGTTTTTTTATAGGGGATTTTGCCGCTAAGCATGTTTTACGCTTACGGACGACGTCTTAATATGTCACCATAGCTATTAAAATGCAATTAAAAAATAGTCCAACTAACTTGGATCATATATCAACCACACAGCTAGTTGATTTGCAACTTTCGAACCGAAGAGGAAGTGCAAATTTCCCAAAACTGAAAAGATTCCACTGGTTGCACAAAGTAACAGTGAAAGACGTCGAATCCATCTATCAGACAACTGATGACGCTAGATAGTCATTTATGAAAAGATTTCCACAATAAAATTTGGTTAATTCTCAAGTGTTTTGGATGATATGTTTATCACTAAAGCTTTTACCATCAAAGTTTAGTGGTCAACAAAAATCAGACTGTAAATTCATGACGTCACACTAATCATGCAGTGTATGAGCTTATTCTTTTGTTATGATTGGGTAATCTTTGGTGATTAGAGACAATAAACAAGAATCCCTGGAACTAAGTTTTGTTATAGTCGATACTTTTTAGTAAAGGATATTGTAAATATCGAGTAAACTGGTTCTCTCTGTGAGATATAGATCTGTGTTATCTAGTGTTGAAGGTTAGAAATATTCGGTGCGTAAATGGCCTACCAGACTGAGATGGAAAAATAATGCCTGAATACGAACCAGTGACCATGCTGAATAATCTATGGCATTAATTTCCACTCTTAGACAAGTTCCCTCCCATATTTTCTCATCTTCTTGAAAAAGTTAATCTTTTGGGAGCTTGGAAAAATTCAACTCTAGTGTGATTAGTAAGTTTGACTGCATATATTATGAATATAAATTAAAACTTTATCGGATGAATTAACGTTTGTTTGAATGGTAAAAGAATGTAAGATACGGTTGAAGAATTTCCAAATCATAGAGCAAAATGAAATTTTATGACCACCTAGGTGATATTTTGAAGCCGATTAAAACCGTAAGAATCCATCCGCCCCTTATTTCTCGTTGACTAAAGTTAGTTTAGATACTCACTACAATGCTCGAACCAATCTCTGTTAGGTTTGTGGATGTGCATTGATGAAGAGTCCCACACTTAGAATAAACAACCATTGAGTGCTTCTTAATCTCTGGTGGTTGTCCAACTATAGTCAATTTGTGATAGAAAACTGGAAAACCCAACAATCTCCAGTCTCTTTATACTGAAAATAGTTTAGTACAGCGATTTAGTGTTTATATTACTGAGAAATCTGGACTTTTTGTAGCTTACATATAACAAGTTTCGCACTCATAAAACCCAAAATAAAAATAGTCCAAACTCAGTAAAATATATACTGATACCACTTCGACAATAACATGACTATCAGTACAATCTTCATGAAAATGGTTAGTCAACCAAATATTTCGAATGAAAGGATTTATGATCGAACAAAAGTTTAATGATCAATGTTTTTGCAAATGCAAACTCTCCTAACAAATTAAGCAAAATTACTCAATATTAATCACAGAAAAAATGTTGTTTTTTTAAAGACGTACAATTTCTGATCCAAGATTAGAACATCGATAAATCCATTTCACAGAACGTTCAGAAAATAAAAGCAGTAAATTTGTCGATAACCAAATTGCTTTACATGAAGAAAAAATAATCAAAAAGAAGTTTAAGGATTCGCATCATTATTATTATAAACCTTACAGCAGCGATTATGAACACTTAGGCTATTTACGTAACCATGAATTCAAACCTTTTAACATCAGTTTAACTCTTAAAAAATGTACAGATAGGTCAAACTTTTCTAAAGATTTTCTCAGTATGATGATTTCGGTTCTAATTACGGACCGGCATAAAATGATGAACCATGTTTCACAAGACATTTGGATCATCAAAGGGTAGGATTTATCAAAAATGTATAAGATATTGAGTTCTGGTGATCAATACGATCCTGTTTTTAGATCACTGATCTAAAATTCTGTAGTATACATTTTTAAACTTATTCGAAAATTAATGAAATAATGGCACCAGTGCCGAATGGCTTCAATGAATATAAGCTTAACCTCTAACATTTTTGACTCCACAGGGGTCATAGCTTTTACTGGAACTTGAGAAATTCATCTCTAAACTTGTCACATTTATAATGACTAGTTAGTTAGGTTATTCGTAGAGATTTATTCGACTCAAAGATAGTCCTCATCGACGAGATGCAGAATATCGGATTCGGACTTACTATGAGGTCTAAAGTCATTGTGATCACCACAAAATTTAGATGCGCTAGGCTTGATTACAGTTGAGCTACTAGAGATTGAGCACTATCACGATCCTTCGAACGAAAACAAACCAGGTGTTCAATATTTTCTGATTTTCAGTGGTTCTTAAACTAGTCTCAGTTTATAATGAATTATTTTTGGATAAATTAGTTTTATTCAGAGATATTTATGTCAACTCATTTGGGAATATTGGAGATGCTGATAATGCGTGTACAACATTCTGTGATTTTGCATCACGCATACTTTCAAAATTCGAACCAACTACATGAAACATCGGCGAATGAAATACACTTTTAAAGCCATGTAAGCAGTTAAACAAAAAAGATCACTATGTAGATTGACTATGCATCATTAACCTATGTTAAAAAGTGATTTCACCAGCTACTTAAAACGAGCAATGAAGGAATCCTGAAATTGATCTAGATTAGATTGACTCGCGAATCCAACTGTTTATATACTACTGCGGTGTGAGCTATTTATATCCATATAAGTAGTATATAACGATAGTCAGGAATAGAATGTATTTCAGTAGAAGATCGAAAAGGAAAGAACGGGAAAGAAGAGAAATTGGTATGAAAATGCAGGACCAATGAAAACTAGGACGATGGACTGTTATTTGAAAAAGAAACAGTCCAGTTTGAGACAATTGATTGGTATTTTGCAAATTAAGTATTTACTGTATGGTTCTCAAATTTTACTAAAATGTTCTGTAATTTTGTGTTTCGATACATTCGGGTGTCCCTACTGGTGTTCTTGTTCACTGCACTACGATCTCCAGAAATCTTAAGCTGTCGTTTAAATGAGTGAACAGAGAATGAAATGCATAAGATTTTTATGTAACTAGTGACAATATATAGAAACATAAACTGTTTTATGACTCAAAAAGTTTCTGATGACTATCAATCTACCTTTTTTTACACATATCCAAGTATCATTGGTCTTCTTGTAAGGACAATTAAAACTTTTCTGCAGATATTAAGATGAATGGTGCTCCATGTTATAGTGAATATGAGATTAGTAATATTCAACTCATAGGTATGATAAATAATTTTGGTTGTTTGCTTAAAAATCCTTTTGTCTAGCTAAAGTTTGTGAACTACTGGTAAATCAAATATTCGGATGAACTTTTAAAATAATCTATATCAACCATGCTCCAATTATCTTCGAAGTTTCAACTGAATTTTCGAAAATTGGTCTACATTCACCTTTCATTATGACCGGAGATGATGGCGAGACTCTAATTTATGGACGGGCCAATCAGAAGCGTTTGAGCAATTTCAAGGTCACGTAGCCAAGTTTAACACCTGATGTTTACATACCGTCAGTTTACAGCGGATTTTAGAGAAGAGGTGATTATTGAGAGGCTACAAGAGATGAGACTACTAGGAAGTTCCTGTACCTGTGACTGCGGTTATCAAATGACTGCAGTAAAGTGTGCAGACTACCCGTGATGAGATTGCATTCCGTCGTCCTTCATGTTGGAGGAAAAAGTCTGCTCGGACGGGGACTTTCTTTGCTCGATCGCGACTGAAACTAAGGCAGATCATGATAATAGTTGCAAATTGGATAATAAAGAGACCAGTAACACTGATTGCGGCGTTTGCAGATGTTACTGAAACTTCAGCAGTCCAGTGGTATGAGTATTGCCGTGACATATGTGCAATTAAAATGACACGTCTACACCAATCATTCGGAGGAGTAGGATGTATTGTGGAGATAGATGAAACAGTAGTGAGAAGGCGAAAATACAACAGCGGACGTAGTATCATGGAAGATTAGGTAAGTAGCACTTCCGTAAATATACTTGACAGGTACTTGGAATTTATGATCGATCAAAGCAAAAAGGGCATTTTCAGAGGGTCAGAAACCGACAAGCAAGCACAATAGTACCAATTATACAGGAATACGTGCAGCCGGGCACTACAGTATATACGGATGATTGGAGAGCTTATAGATGCCTACATGGACTTGGGTATGTACATCATGTCGTAGTGCACAAGCGCCATTTCGTCGACCCTACAACCGGCGTTAATACTAATAATATTGAAGCCATGTGGTCCAGACTGAAGGAATTTTTAAGACCGTACCACAGCTCTAGAGGACGACTATTATGGAGCCATGTTGACGAGTTCCTATATCGCATGCATTATGATTTCAAAACATCTGAACCTTTATCAAACCTTAACAAGTTTTTAAATCATGTAAAAGAAAAATATCCACTGTAATTCATTAGTTTCTTACAATATATTTTACTTTATACTAACTGTCTTCTGATTGGCTAATAATTGTCAAGGTTCATTCAAGATTCGTTCAAGGTTCGTCCATAAATTAGAGTATTGCCGAGATGATTAAATAAGTGTGGAATTCATCAATTTTAGTCATTTTGATAATCGTAGAACCTGTATTTTCTATTTAGAGTGATTAAGTCGAATTATTCGATGACAGTGACCATATTATGTGGTATTTTTGATCTCCTACATCGAAAGCGATTGTAAGATCTTAAAGAAAGAAATCATTGAGGTTAAAGCTTTTGGTTTCTAAAAGCATCAATATTAGCTCTACGTAAACCAGCGGCTATACATCTTTAAAATTTTATGTCAGTTGTGAACGATAGAGGACATTCGTTCCAAGTTTTCAAACTATAATATGACACAAATCAATGGTGATTACTGGTAAACACATCGTTAGTAAATAGAGATTGGTTGGTTGGTTTAATTCTACGATAACTAGAATCTCTTACTGAAATTCCTAAGCAAAATGGACTGTAGTCTGTTCAAATGAATTCGTTCTTGAAGCATCAAATATCTTATTTCGCGTAAATGAGGTCACTTCAGTGTAAGTACTGCATAGATTCATAGGAATGAAGTAATTATTGCGCACAGTTCAGGAAAATCTATGTGTATTTATATCTTCACTCTGTACAGACAAGTACTTGAAACCCGATTTTTTTAAATTAACTATTGAAGCTGTCTAGAAAATAAGGTCATTGATTTACCCAACTGTTTAGCTTATTTGAACTTGGATAAGAAAATTCAATTAGGCAATGAACGTATACTATTACACACATGGTAACAAGTTAGTGTTTCTCTACGTTGAAATTACCATAAAGGTTTTATCTCAGTGTAACGTTACATCATCTAAGTTCATTTATCTATCGTTCTTGTGTCAATAATTGGGACCAAATAAAAATATTTAACAATACAATTGTTACACAGAATGAAAATTAATTGTTGATTCTATATTTTTTTGATAGTTTACATTACGTTGAACAATAGGAAGCAGTGAACAGCTATTTTGTCCTTGTATGAGACTCCTCAATAGTTCATATCGCCGACCTCATATTCAGTCGAGTTCAGAACCTTCATCTCTCGCAGTGAACGCTTAACTTTTATACCACTAAACTGACATCCAATAGTTTACATAGCTAACTTAAATAATTTTTATGTTCTACTAAATACAAGCTTTCTATGGAAATTGTCTTAACAAGACAACAACTTTAATTTCAGTGGTTCTCAATATAGATCATTGTCAGCTCTGAATTGTGACAACTTGATCCAAGCATTAAAAAGTGAATGAAATTTAAAAAAAATAAGACATTTACCATTTGTTTTATCAATTCCATGATATAAAAGAACAAATGAATAGGATAAAGTAAGCGCTAACCAATTTTTAATGATAGGAAAGGGAATTAATAGTAATGAATGTTTATAATTTGACGATAAATTGAACTTCATAACAGGTATAAAAATATAACTGGAAAAGATTTTAAAAAATGAAAAGTTGATTATAATCTTACTACATTTGTAATTATTAATTTATAGCAAATTAAAAAGCTTAATTTCAGTAATATATTTACTAGTCTAAACGAAGAATGAATGTATGGACGTTTGAGAAGTATTTTTTAACAAATGTTTAATTTTGACATGATACGGATATTTGTACTAAAAATTTTATGAATCAACATGATATCCACTAATTACATTTAACAGGTGCGTATGATAAACAAGGAAGAGTCTGAATTGGGCCAGTCACGGGCGGAATAGCTCAGTGGAAAAGTCCCACATTGTGGGTGACCCTTGGTAGAATCCGCCAGGGAGCATCAGTTCTCTTAACACTGCAGGTATGCTTTATTGGTTATAACTTCTTTCAACCACCCAACACATGGGAATTTGTTTATATGGGAATCAGCTAGCTGGTAATAAACTACTAAGTAAATTATTGGTAACAGTGATCAGCATTTCTGTTACTCAACATAGAATAATCATAGTCTCATTGAGGATAAAGTGTAAATAGATTAATTACTACATGAATGATATGTCCTAATAGATAAAAATGATACATATAAGAATAGGAAGTTACGACTATCATAGATGATTTACTGATGTCAAAATTTCTACTAAATTATCAAAATAATTAACTGTAACTTATTTACCTATGAAAAATGACTTAAGCTGATAATGCGTCAAGGTTTAAAAATATGCTGAAACTCAATGAGAATTATTTATGTTGCTTGAAGTTAAAAAAACCTGGAGATAATATTAACAAAATAAAGGTCAACTGGATTACATGGATAAGAAGGTTATCAGGAAAAAAATTGAGCAACAAAAGCACCAACTTACGATTTGATGAAATTGTACAATCCGCGATCGAATGATCTGAAACATTTGAACATGAGAAACAAGATTATAAGCGATTTAAAAGATTGAATAAACGTTACGAATATGAAGTCCCTACGAAGCAACTGTCTTGTTCAGTGAATAACTTTACCATGGATTTCGTGAAGTTCTATTAGTAAACTATGAACTGTGGAAGTGAAAAATTACAAATTAATAAAATTGGACGAAAATCGTATTATACAACAAATAGGCTCAAGTTGAAAAGACAAAATGATGGATTTGGTGACATAAAAGAAGTGATGCACTTCTTAGGACCTAAAGTTATTGAACTTGATGTTACGTGCGTTAGTTGGTTCAAACTACTGAGTCGTAAAATAAAATAAAACAGCTTTACAATGTTCTGTAGTAGACGTCATTCAGTATGTATTTATAAGCACTAGAATAAACCAGGCTACTGTATTTAGGTTTACAGTGGGTGTTAGCTGGACTTAATGTGGATATAACCATCATAATCTAAAATGTTGAAAGAATTGATATTCTGTACTTAAAAGCGATATTTTTTGTGTCACATAGGACCCTGATAGACAAAAGGATGTCTGGTAAGCCTAATATAAACTTTACAGATGATAAATTCTTGGTTATTAATTTACATTTTGCACAAAGATGACGAGTAAATGAAGTTAGTATTTGATGATAAGCTTTAACGTAATTTGTGAACAAACACAAGTTGTCTTAACCTTGAACTTGGATTGGTAATTTTTAATTCATTTTTACGTCCTACGGCAGTGTAAAAAGTTCTTATTCTTTTTACTTTACATCACCACTCTTACTTCCAATTATCGCTTTATTTTGTTGAGATTTTATCTAATTAGTATAGGAAAGGGTTTTGTGGTAGTCGTAGAATTCTCATGACTTCAGCACGCACCGGACACCTGTTTCATCCCAATATGGAACTTCTTGACAATCCCCCTCTATAACATTTATTAGTTTGCGTATAAAGTCTTGAAAAGCATTTGTGTGACCAGATTGTTAAAAATGTATGACGAGAATACACCATATTTTTCACATCAACTCCATCTTCTCATTACACTATCGAAAGTTGTCAGATATAATGATTAGGCTGACCATAAATTTTTTGAAAGTCACTAATCAAGAATTAAATGGTTACATTTAACATGTTGATAGAACCACCAGTATCTAGAAAGAAAATGTTTAAAATTAAACGAAATGGCATAAATGATGCAAGATGTCTTTCAGTTCGGAGTTTCCTCACTTATTCAACTTCGTAAGGTATGGTTACTAAGTTGGATAATTTTACCAATGATCATCCTATCTATAAAAAGTTTCGGATAGTAGTAGGCAGTGGGATCTAGAACGCAGGTTTCCTCTTGTCTGGAGCTCGTCAGCTGGATGTGCCTGGACTCGTAATGTTCACATCAGGACTCGAACTTAGTGATTTTCGATTCAAACGCCTTCAACACTATCCATTGTTCGAAAGGTTCTTGGCTTGCATCCCGATGCGAACATCATCATGGGTACAGAAACATCCAGCTGACGAGCCCCAGATAGGACGAAATGTGGGTCCTAGGTTCTACTGCTATCCACAATCCCGAAATGCCTGTGACTTAATGAAAACATCAAGGCAATTTACACAGAATGCATACATGGCAAAAAAGACAAGTTTATAACATCAATGGGAAGATTCAAACAACCAATACAAATGAATAAGCTTCCTGGTGTATATCTTGTAGAAAACAATCATATATTTGTATGAAGAGGATATTTTGTGCTAGGATTCTAACTGACTGCTCCGTTACTTCAAACCTATCCACTTATGATCAACATATAATTAAACGAAAAGCACCGAGCAAGTAATCAATACGATGAGATGTCTGAACATATCCCCATTCAAAAGACAATGAGGCAAAATATTCAACAAATGAGGTGAATTGTTCACGGAGTTGATGTGTATAGTTGGTCTGATTTCATTTTTACTAGATAACTCCGATAGAAAAATATTTTCTGAGACACTAAGTATAAACAGTTCTTTTGAATATCAACCACCAGTTATATGGATTATTCCTAAAGTGCGTGAAGCGCATAATTAAAAAAACTAATACATGATTGATATATCTGTTTCAGATTCAGGTTTTGAAGGGATTATGGCAAACGCTGAATGATTTTATTACATAAAAAGATGCAACGACTTGCAGAAACATCACATTATTAGAACAGAAGTACATTGTAAACTAACCGCCAACATTCAGAAATCAGAAGGAAATGTAAGAGACATGCTGGTGGTTCAGGCATAAACGAAACCTGAATTAGGCTTGGGTCACTATGAGATTTTCTTGTTTGATCAGTGATAGTAGTAGTAGCTTTGGTGTTTCGCCCACATGATTGAAGAATATTCAATAATTTCTGTAACAAATTTATGAGTAGGCATTCGAAATTTGAAAGTACGTATGGCCATCCATAAAATTGTAAATATATAATGAATAAATGTAAACTACGTAAATAAATACTCGCACCCACTGTACCACGATCAATAATAAGATAATACTGATTTGATTTATTTTGTATAGATAATTCACTAATTTGTGCATAAGAAATCAAATAACCGAATGAATTCGGATAAACTATACAAAGACATAATGACCAAAATGAGCTCCAGAATATCAACCGGATAGCTTTGGAAACAAGTGATATCAATGTGTCGAGTAATGTTCTAAAACTGGGTGATAGATTATTGGAATGTAAACTATCAAGATTTTCCTGCAATTTAAAAAAATAATACAGTTCACTCCTGTTATCTTATTTATATTAAACAATTAAAATTTTGCATTCGATTAAATGAGGTTTAAAATAATCCCAGTGTGATGAAAATAATATGCTATCATGAGAATCGCTTTAGCATATTAGCTTAATAACGAGTAGTAAAGATCAACAACTAAATTAAATAGAAAGCTGAGGTTATATAACAGAAGTGTTTTGTTAAAAATTTCAGTGATCTACTTGGCATAATATTTCATTGTTGATGTATGATGATTCTTGTTGGAATAGATAATCAAGGGATTGTTTAAGTTGTTTCTTCCAGGTTTTCATAAAAATAATTGACAATATGACAATAATCAGTCACTTAACAGACGAAAAAAAATCATTTCATTTTGCCCGTATTTGGATGGAATTCCTTGTAGTGTCGGTTGCTATATCAAGCCTACATAGCTTATTCTAGCTTACGGACAGGCCAATTTATTCATTCTTCTTAAATCACATTTTGACCCTGTCAATTATTCGCTTATCAACCTTGAATTTTTATGTAAGCGTATATGTGTGCATTTCATATCTTACTCATCACATGTCTCTAACTTATTTTTGTCTGACCATAAATTTCGATTCACGCCTTGTTAAATTAAGTTGGCTCACTTGCTGTCACCACTGTGTGTCATTTTGTTTTACTTCGCTTCCGATCAACGATTGTACGAAATATACGTGTTCGAAATCCATCCTCGTATTTGACTTATTTAATTCTGTTATTCACTAACGCGATCTAGGTCGATAATTATATACGAGGATTGGTGACGTGCATATTTCAATAACAATAATTCATACGATCCGAATGGGGTCAGATACAAAGGGTCACTAAATCCTACACAAAGTTTTCAGTAATGTAGTTAAATGAAGAATTACATTTAGAAATATAACTTCCAAAGAAAACCCTATCTACACGTGAGATTCTAATGTATCCAAAGTCGCTAGTACAGTTCACATTGTAATTTTAAGTTTTGACAAGTGTGCTGGTGGGAAATCATTTCAAAAGATTATATTTCTTCCTTTGTTGTTATTTTTCTAAGATAGCCACATTAACTTGAAGCAAATATCAGTGTTTAGCGCCAAATTAGTATGTAAAGCATCATCAATTTCACGAATTGATTTCAAGTACAAGTAGTAATACATTCATTTACTAAAATAAAAATAATAACGGGTATCCTTTTTTAAACTACTTCTCTAGTGCCATCATAATTCAGAGGAAAAATATTTGTGTCATATAAATGAAAGATTGACTATCATATACAACAATATTCATGAGTAAAGTTACTATCACATATTTAACGACTATGTAAAATTGAACATAAATGCATCAAGACTTCCCGAAGTACTTCAGTCCACAGAACCACTCTTCAACAACAGTTATGGTAAATGTACAGTTAAACAGTCTAAGATTACATGAAAATATGCAGTAACGCAAGTATAACCAATATTTCGGTTAAATATATGTATAACAGAAGGTGCTGCAACGTATACTTATTGCATACTCGTAACTTAACTTTTGATGGATTAATTTTAAATAACCAATAATGAGACACACTGTAAATAAATATGGATTTCAAATGTATTTTTTACTGGGATATTCAAATCTGCTGCTTCTCGTTTTAGGGATATATTTCGATAAAAGCACCTTTTATAAGATGTCTTCCTTTTTTATTTACTGTAATCAACAGGTATATATATATATATATATATATATATATATATATATATACCGAGACTTGAAGAAAATCAGTGTCTGCTTGCTTTAACTATGGAACAGCTAGTACGTATCACTTATTATGACTGAAAAATAACGGAGATTTTCATTTATAATTTATTGGAAATAAATCCGTAGATTCATAACTAAATCTAAATCTACTGAATTATTTACTTAACTGACCAATGGTCAGATCTAAATACATTGAACTGGGCGATCGCTGGCGCCAATTATTCACTAGCCTAGTACTTGTATACACTTTATAATACTAATAAATTTGACTACTTTGACCAACAAATATAACTAAAGTGCTAACATATATGTTGGATCTTCCCCAATAATATACATGTATGATCATTGTACAGAAGTTGAAAAATTATATAAAAATAAAATAATATTTTTATGAGAATGCTTACCCAGAAATTAACCCAATTTGAATACAAGACGAGTGGACCTAACAGCAATGAATGAGGGTATAAAGAATAGTCTAATACATCCAATAAACTTTCTAGTGAGGATTTAGGGGCACAGTTAATGGTTGATTCCTCTTTTTCTGTCTTTTTGACAAAAGATGACTTAAAATTGTTCGAACATTTATGGAACGATAACGCCACACTTAAACTGCGTAGAACTATATAAAAATGCGCCGCATACAAGATCATATACCAGTCGTATGATATCAATCCAAAGTTAAACGATGATTCCTGGTTTAAGCAATGTATAAAACACAAGAGGTGATAAACAGTTGATAATTGTTAAGAAAAAAAGAATTTAGCGAAGAAATTTTTTCGACGAAACCATTTACTTAAGCTGTATATTTGTATATATAGTTATATGGAAATAATAATTGTTAACAAACACATCAAAAAATATTTACGTATGTTCATATATTTGTACCAATCCACAATTTGGAAGATACATCTAATGAATCAAATGGTTATCTTTTTAAGAATAAAAGAAGTTTACAACAAAACGCCTCCGTTTTGCCTCTTAAAAATTGATTGCTGTTTTGTTTCTTACTTAGGAATTTTAAAGATTTTGGACAAATTAGTTTCCATTCAAGTAATCAAAATTCGAGAAGATAACAAGAAAGGGTTTCTGGTAGATTTGATAAAACATATCTGTCACTACAACTTTTCCACAAATAAACTCTAAGAGACAAAGTAAGCAATACGAACTTATATTTAATAAGAGATTATCATATACTATTGAAATATCAATCTGATTAATGTTAAAATTGAAATTGTTTGGAAGCTGTGGTTGTTGTTTATCAATATCACATACGAAAATAAGAACTAAGTGCTTTGTAATTTTAGATGCTTTAGGAATTCGCATAGCAAAATGTAAGAACAAGTGGTTTGGTTTCTAGTAAAAGTGAACAATTTGAAAACACTCATGGTAATTCGTGCTTTAGAACGAAATCTTTGTATTTTAAGGACTATAAACTTCCATAATAAGTTGTAAGCTACATTGTCGAAACTTCGTAACACATTTTATATTTGTGTAATGGACATATACGAGAAATCATTGAACTTTTAAAAACTGCTACAGTGATTTCATTTTGATATAATTCAACCTATTTTAAGAGTTATTTCAGTCTTTTTAATACGCTTTACATTAAATCTAAAATAAATCCGTTTTTTGATGAAGCGTTTTGTAACAGATTAAGCAGTCGTTAGTGCTTTTTAGTTTGAGTCCTAACACAAAAGGTATCAAAAACACCATTACTTTGGTGTTCGCCAGTATTTTATATAGACAGATTTAGTCTTTTCACCGTTTGCAGCAAACTGTCACTTCAGTAAAATCAAAACGAACTAAGTGAAAGCATATACACTCTAAATGTTTCCTACATGGGTTAAAAGTTGAAAATACATACAATAGTGAGTCTCGTAAAAGAATTAAGGAATTAACTAATATTATAGTTCGTTGAACTTACAAAGAATTCAGATGCTTGAAACACTAAAACTGCAAACGCCCATATCAAGAGCCAATTTCCAGAACCAAATAACTTATGCATGAAAAGCACAATATGTTCAAAAAGACGTCCATTAGGATTTTATAACCCACCAAATAATTTATTAGCCAAATTGATAATATTATTCGACAACATTTGAATATCTACATTGATTGAATAGAAACAAGCATGTAGTACTTTTTTGTTCACCAACGCAAAAACGAATGATGATACGATCGAATAGAGTAAAAGATAAGGTACAAAACTCATCCACAACGGAAGCAACGTCCACTGTAATTCAGCTGCATCTTGCATTAGCACCAAATTTTGAGTTAAACTAACATTTTTCAGTCGTAATAAATTTAGATTCACTGAATTTGTTATTATAATTTGAAAACATATTTCACCTGGACTTTTCGAAGAGATGAAAAGTTTATAAATCGAATAACTTGGGACAATTAAAGCTATGCCGACATACACAGTTCGTTCCAGAAGAAAAGGTTCAGTCTTTACAGCCATTTCTTTTTGAAAATAATCTAGGACATGGAACCTGAAGAACAAAAAGGAAGCTCAAATATATCATGAACGGTTTTAAAATGATGATCACGAACTTAAAATTTTGGGTTTAATTTTTTAAGTACGTATGAAAGTCCAGTTTTTTACATGAAGACATAGAAATGAATAGATGAAATTGAGAAATGTTTGACAACTGTTATTCCAACTATTGGATGTAACAACCTGTATACTGTCAATAATATTCAGTAGGCAATTAGTTTCTATTCTCATTTTATCCAAATTTCAGGCTTGATGGTAAATAAATACGATAGCTGTTGAGTAGCCACTGAGAAAAAACTAAAACTGTCAAGTACGGTCTGATTAAATCTGACCACATGTATTTCTGCTTTGCCGAAACGCTACTAGAAGTTCACCGACAACCCGGCTAAATCTTTTTGAGGCTTAATATAAGAGGAAAGTTTCTATTATTTACGGATGACTTCCAAACAATAACTTAAGATGTGACTTAAGGTTTGTATGATACGCTCGCGAAATGTTTATTTAAGCTTTTTTGAGCAACTAGACAATACAGCTTGTCTCTAGTATTGTTAGTTTATCTTACAACCAGCTACAGGAATTCATGTGTGAGCGATTTTTCTAACACTAAATGTTTAGTCAGTGTATTCGCTATTGTGAAATACACCAGCCGAAATGGGTGGTTAAAAGCTAAAATTCAGTGTAGACGTACTTATAACAGCATTTTGACTGCGTGGTCACTTTTTATGGGAGTGACTTTGTGGTTAAGGTAATTTATTTTTAGCCGCTAGTTCACATGGCGGGGATCTTCCTTGCCATACTAAGTTTGAATAGTCAAACAGTATTATAATTTGTAGATAAAACCTAAGTACACTTAACAATAAACATATGATTGTTGATTGGGTTGTCATCCAATGATATTTTGATTAATTTGACGATGATGAAATCAGGAACACAAAATTTAAGAAAAACCGAACCGTTTTAGACGGAAGCTATATGATTACTTTCGTCGAATAAACAAGTAATTTTTCGGAAGGTTTTTCAAAGGCGTCATACACTGGTAGCTTAGTTTTGTGATGCCTTCTAGACATCTCCCCCCGTAGCATTACATAATTGAACCGAAATACTTTTTTATGGATCCCTGAACAAACAAAATGGATGTTGTGGAAAAATGAGAGGAAACGTGAGGAAAAACCATAAGGATAGAAATAATGAGTTGTGAGAACTTCGGTATACGTATCACAGTTATTCTCTCTCTAATTCCATTTGAGACTAATACGACTTAAACTTCAACGCTAGCTCAATGAAGCAAACGAGCTCCCAATTTGATGCTTTGTTAAATTATATCATTTATATAAACCATATCAAAGCATCTCGAGAGCTATATGTTAGCAAATTTCAAATCCAGCAAATCAATTCCCTTGACGCTTTAATATGAAACAACATTGGAATATACAAACTAGAATCATTACCTGAATTGACGCGATAATTATACAACAACATTAAATTAACCACAATACGATTTGCAATACTTTGTCCAATATGCAATGCCTATATAACGATCTAATCTAAGAAATTGAATATATTGATCGATGTCTTGAAATGAAGAAAAAATTCTCTTAAATTTAGTAGTATAAGCAGAATAAATAGGTGGGTATTATGATTTTCACATTTATAAGTACATACCATTAGAAAATGTGATAGTTGATATCATTATTCATTTGAAGCCAAACCACAATGGATAACCTGGAAGATCGGACAGCCGTTTCGTCCTATTCTAGGACTCCTCAGTTAGATATTAACACCGTTGTATACAGGCCCAGTGTGTTTTATGAGTCCGCCTTTTATGGCAATACAAAGTTTCTGAAGTCATTCTGTGACAGCATGTTTCACGTTACTAGTTTTCATACGCTCACTAATTTAGTGTATTGTGGTCAGATCATTGCGGTCTTTTAACACGATATGTGCAATGAGTACATCAAACAGCCGTCGGTTGATTACAGTGATGAAATACCAGGACAATAACAAGGAAAACTTGCCGCGCTATTTAAAAAGGACAGTGGTATTCTTTCTCGTTGAGTTAATTAACTGTTTTGATCGTAAATTACGCATCAAAACTACTGTTTACACTTTAATTGCATCTACCCCAGTTAAAGTGATATTTTATTGAGTTTTTCGATTTTGCTTCTGTGTATTTATTGCATCGAAGCATACTTGGTCGACTTTTACTTGGTTTATTTAGTTAAGGTTTGAAAATCCTTTTACATATCCTGTTTTTGTCACCGTTCTAGTTGATTTTCAAGATGGCTAGGTCTACTCATAAATGTGGACAACCATACTGCTTATTTCCCGTGGATGAAGGGATGCAATGTGATGAGTGTAATAAGTGGTTCCATAAGATGTGCACCCGATTAAGCCCCACTGCATATAAAAGGTGTTCAAAGCCCAACTCTCATTGGCTTTGTAGTTTTTGTTGCTCGAGCAAAACATTGCTTATCCAGGAAGCAATTAGTCTCCTGGTGTTGGCTAATAAGAAGGTTGATGAGGGCTGTACTGATAACATTGGTACGGATGGCGAAGATTGCGTTAGTGTCGTAAGTGCTATCACGGCGCAAGCCAGACATCTACCTGTGCAACCCACAGTTAAACGTTCTCCCCCGAAACGATCAGTGAGTGACACGTCATTAGACGTTGGTGGCCATATTGCTACAGCAGCAACCGGTGACCCAGATAAAACAATTACTGTCCCGAGTTGTTCTAATGTAGACGTTTCGACTGATGGAAAATGGATGACGCGAAAACGCAGAAGAGTAGGAAAGATAGCTAAAACTAATGACTGTTTACTTGGTAAGTCCTTGGTGGACTCTCAGACCAATCCGCCAAAGTCTCATAGTAAAGCTTCGTCTGACATTGTTGTGAGTCATTCGCTTGACTCCCAGGACTCTGTTAAAATAAAAACTAATCGTAAGCTACCAGTAGTTAAAATACAGGATCTAACGTCACGGTCGAAAGCTGTGAACACAGTTTCAAAAGAAGCTAAACCCATCCCTAGTTTAATTATTTGGAATCTAGAGGAGTCGAAAGACAACGACCCTGCTAAAAGACACGCACATGACCTACAGTTAGTGGAGTCTGTGGTCAGGAATGTACTACCTGAAGAGGTTTCAGGGGTACATATTACAAAAGTAATACGACTTGGTAAATGGGTTGGAGGCGAGACCCAACCAAGAAGGATCCTGAAGCTGGTTCTCGGGAGTTTCGAAGAAAGAGACATATTATTGAAAAGCGCACAAAAAACTCGTGCCTCAAATATCCGTATTCGACCAGATTGGCCGCTTGAGGATCGAATCAAGTGGAAGAATGCTCTTACGGAGTTGAGGACTCGCAAATTAAATGGCGAAAATAACCTTACCATTAAGGGTTTTCGGGTAGTCAGGTCTTGGAAGCCAATGCTTCCGAGGCCTGTATGGGTAGAACGATTGATTTCCAAAACACCTTAAGTGTGTGCTACACGAACGCTCGTAGTCTTAGAAATAAAACGTCCGAGCTAAGTCTGATGGTGCAAGAATTATGTCCCGATATAATCGTTGTTACAGAAACTTGGTTCACCGTTGATATAGACTGTTCTCCTTTCATTGCTGGTTATATCTGTATCAGAAGTGATAGAGTTTCAAGTCGCAAGGGGGAGGTATAATATTTTACGTTAGGGATCACTTTCGTATACAATCAACCATATCGGAGGCTCATATCAGTGGCACATGTGAGGTTGCATGTTGTAAGATTAAATCTAGAAATGGGTTAGTGACTATAGGGGGAATATACCGTAGTCCGTCTTGTCTGGCTGACGACTTTATCCTAAGACACATCTGTTCTTGGAGTATGGCAGAATGTTGTCTCATCATTGGGGACTTCAACGCACCGCATATCAACTGGATAGAGCTTACAGCTCCAGGTAGCGGTTTCGATAGCGACCTTTTATCTACCGTTATTCAGTGTGCACTTGTACAATGTATCACAAAACCGACACATATTGATTTGCATCATGTTCCGTCACTGCTGGACCTCGCCCTCACCCACCACTCTGAGGATGTCTTTGATATCCAGCACCTTCCTCCACTAGTGAACAGTGATCACGTTGTAATTCACTTTAAGTTTAGGACACATGGTATACAATTCGTATCTGCTCCACCCCGTCCCAATATCTGGCGAGCTAATATTCCGGAAATCAGAAACCGTGCTATCTCGACCGATTGGTCGGTCGACGCGGATGGATTGATCGAAGATGAATGGAATAAGTTTAAGGCTACATTCGAGTCCGTAACGTCGCCGTTTATCCCATGGTCAGCACGTAAGCTATCACATTGCCCTCCATGGATTAATAAGGAAACCCGGAAGCTGTTAAAGCGTAGGAAACATTTCTGGGACTTATTCTTGTTGACAGGTCATGCACCATTTAAGCGTGAGTATCAAAAATACCGTAATATCTGTAAGAAAACCATAGCGAAATCCCGTACCACTTACGAACGACAGTTAGTATATGATAGCCGTACTTGTCCGAAACGATTGTTTTCGTATGTTAAACGGCAAATGAAACGTAGTGATGGTATTCCCCCGTTGCTGTTACACGAAAATTCAGAATTACTAGCTGAATCAGATCGAGCAAAAGCTGAGACTTTTTCAGATTATTTTAGCGAAGTCTTCTCTACGTTTATTGTAACAAATACTTGTCCCACTCACACCGAGATACCAACCATTGAATCCGTACAGGTGACTGAGGAAACTGTCCTTCCGTTGATAACTAACCTCAAACCTGGTAAGATACCGGGCCCTGACGGGTTACATCCACGGTTGCTGTCATCTCTTGCGGACATTATTTCAAAACCGCTTGCGACACTCTTCAACATGTCCCTCTCACTCGCCCAACTCCCTAGAGATTGGAAGGACGCTATAGTTAGTCCTATATTTAAGGACGGTCAGCGACAGATAGTATCTAACTACCGGCCTGTCAGTCTAACTAGCATAGTCGTTAAGTTACTCGAAAAGATAATTCGGGTTAGGTTGCTAAGCCACATAGATTTACACAATCTGTTAGCTCCTGAGCAACACGGATTTCGTAACAAGCGTTCATGCTTGACTAACTTGCTTATTGCGAGGGAGGATTGGACAGCAGCCCTAGATCACGGTCTGTCTGTCGACGTGATATTCATAGATTTTAGCAAAGCGTTTGACAAGGTTTCACACGTAGGTCTTATGCAGAAGCTCACGAGCTTCGGAATAATAGGTACTGTACATGAGTGGATAGGAAATTTCTTATGTGACCGCAGACAGAGAGTTAGGGTCAATGGAACGCTATCCGATTGGAAGCCGGTCAAAAGTGGTGTACCCCAAGGCACCATCTTAGGCCCTCTGCTCTTCCTTCTCTACGTTAATGAGTTACCACTGTTACTTAGGTCGTCGACATTATTGTTTGCAGATGATGTAAAAATCTGGAGAACAATAAAAAGTGCGGCTGATCATGTGGATCTTCAAGCTGATTTAGACGATTTAGTTAGATGGGCTCGAGAGTGGGGCTTAGAAATTAATGCTAGGAAGAGTGTACTAATGCACGTCGGTCACGGTAATAGTTACCGTTACACTATTGAGGGTAAACCTCTTCCATGCGTTCAAGAGCATAAGGACTTAGGAGTAATATTAAGTCATGACTTAAAAACAACTGCGCATTGCAAAGCAGCCGCTGTCAAAGGTTTTCGTGCGTTATGGTCACTTCGCCGAGCGTTCAAATCTTTTGACGAGGAAACGTTTCGAATTTTATACCCCATATATGTTAGACCACATTTAGAGTACTGTATCCAAGCAGCTAGCCCGTGTCTAGTAAAGGATACTAACTCCCTTGAGCGTGTCCAGCGTGTGGGAACGAAATTAGTGAAGGGTCTTTCTAGTCTCCCTTACGATGAGCGCTTAAAACGCCTAAATCTTTTCCCCTTGTCGTATCGTAGGACACGAGGTGACCTTATACTGGCATTTCGTATCTTTAATTATGATTTGGGTGTTAATATGTCTTATCTTTTTGCTCCCTCCAGCACTAATAATCTCCGAGGTCATAGCAAGAAGGTTCATAAACCACGATCTAATAAACTTAAAGTGGGATCCCGTTTTTCTCATCGAGTAGTCAATCATTGGAACGCCTTACCCGAACAAGTGGTATCAGCCCCATCAGTGAATACTTTCAAGGAAAAGCTGGACCTTCACTGGAAAGCAATGTGTCAGGATTAACACAGGTTCATCAACCTACTATCCTTACTACTGAAGACTGAAGACTGAAGACTGAAAGCGTCTTCTTTAATCCATAACACACCTAAGATATTGTAAGGTTACTAACACAATACACTCAAAATGCAAATTACCCTTTTCAAGTTCTATTACCTGGAACAACGTCTAAAGTACATATATGGGATGGTTGTCTCATATCAGCGGACTGAAGATGGCGTTAAAAATGGGCTAAAACTGTAAAACGCAATGACATGATTACATAAGTTTATCCTTTCCATTATATGTCGAAGCGGGATATTGAATCATCATGTTTCGTGACAGGTATCGACCATTCTCTTACGTGAAGTAGATATAATTTATTGCAAATTTTTCAGGACCATAAGACAAACATAAAGCAATGTCGTTGATAGCATATACGTCAATCTTCGATTATTTATCTATGATTTAATATCCAGGAGTATCGATGAAACGAACCTCATGATTAGCGAACTCGTTATATAAAATTCTGAAAGTTCATTTGACGCAGAGAACTGAATAATACATTGAGGCAAATGTTCTGTGATCAAAGCAGCAAAAAACACCTTTTGTGATATTTAAGAACTAGAAATTGTACAGAAAAACTTTCGGTTGATAGATTTTGTTTATCTCTACAATCTAAAGTTAATTTCGTTATTCGCCATCGAACAGTTCAGCGGGCTATTGGAAATTACGAGTTTAAGCGATGTTGGCTGACGGTTTCCCCCCAGGTGAGGTTTCACTTTCCTACCTTTTCGTTTACTTTACGTTCTTTCTTATTAGGTTGATCTATATCTCCTTCATCTTGATATCTTGTCATTTAAATCATGTTAACTTTGTGGCTGTCTCAAATCTACCTGATGTTCTAAATACACATGTATATGTTACTTTACCTTTACGCTTCGAATTGTTCGGCTTACTTTTTAAATATTTCTGTATGGCAAGTAATGGAATATTCAAGTATCCTATTAACTCATCAGTTTCGTGCCTTCGAGTGACCTAATTTCTCCGTGTACAGTTTGTGTGTAACGACAATAAATCTGCATTTTGGTCGGTCGGCTACCGTACACTTAAATATCATCCGTTGGGCCACCACCTGACTTGATTCATTGTCAAGGGTTCTGTACAATCAAAATAAACAAAACTTTTAGTTCATGCCTAGACGGTTTTTGTTCTCTTAAATCCTTTTGTTTATCAGTCCTCTTTGCTATTACCGCATACTTGTTTGTCTCAAATAGCTAGCGGTTATTCAGGATCACGATATTTCTCAGACCGATCCAGTTTACTTTCCTGATTGTCCCGATTACTAAAACTGCCATTCGAATAGCTCAAACTGCAGTGCATATGATTATTACTGTAATATTTTTTGGTTATCTTCAATTCTAACCTACTTCATCCTGAAACTATCCCCTCTGACTTTAAGGTTATAAGGTTTTAGTTTCATTCACCAATACTACTCTCATGATTGTTAATGCATATTTTGAATTATCTTAGTGGACTTGAGTAGCTGTGTCAGTACTTAATAGTTTAATGGATTCGACAGCTAACTTGTTTCGATAACCGCCCACTGGACTCCACGGACATAGTGTTGTCTTCATGAAGATATTCAAAGCTCACGCAGTGTATTTCAAGCCGTTTTCTTTCGATTTAATTATCTGGTTTTTATCTGGACTGTCGAATATGCTCATAGTTGTGGTTGCATTTTGCTTATCAAGGCGGCATAGTTGGTTAGATGTAGGCTAGATTTTAAAATGTAGTCAATTAACTGCGCATAAATTGTTTAGCCTAATGCAGTCACATTATTTGGGGGATAATTATGATACTGATAGTCATGAAATTTGGCGGATTTATGTTAAGGGTAGTTACCCTATGACAGTATTGGTTCGCTCAACTTAGCGGAGGTAAGATAAATTTCGTACCACTATGCCTGAGTAGGGCCTTAAGCACACAAAACTGAATAGTTGCTACATAAATATGCATTCCATTGTAAGCAAAGAAACAATTAATATATTGCGGTGTATTCACTTTTCACTATCTATCTGTATATCTTGCCTATGGGGAAAGCGGTGTTGTTTATAACAATGTGGATCTTTTAATCTTACCAACAGTCAAATACTAACTCAAAGACACGAGTTCAGTAAAAAGTTATACTGCTCGACTTCTGCACTTTTAGTGACCATAACGATAGTCGTGCGAAAATTTCCCTAGGTCATATTTCGAAATTCGGAGTAGGAAGTTGCAAGAAGTGCATCCTAAGTTTTCTGAGAAACTACTTTTTACCTACCTTGAAAACTAGCAACGTTAAGTGTCTTCAGATTGGGTACAGCATGTTTTCCAGACACCTTAAAATTGTGGCATAAAAATCTTCGAAAATGTCGAGTAAGGTATCGTCAAACTTTGAGTGAATTTTAACACTATTAAGGGGGTCATTGTAAAAAAAACAGACATAATAGACAGGTAAATGATGTCACTTCGGTTTTGTGATGGAATGTGACCCATTTCAGGCAACGTTTAGTCGTCAGTATTCAAATATCATCATGGTTTGGCTGTTCATTTGTTCTCAGAGATCTGAGTTGGTTTTTTTGTATTGGCGCGTTTCTCTATTTACTGCTGCAATTACTCCCTTAAAACGGTCTCACTTTAACACCCGTCTTACTCTTCCATTTATATTTTCAGGTAAAATGGATTGTTCAAATGGTTGTCCCATTTCGGAGAAGGGTAAGACTAATTGTTGGCAGATGAAGTTTTCATAAGGCCAAAACAAATTTGGCAGTGCCCATACATTTGATTACTTTCGGTTAACTGTTTTCTCCCAAGTAATTTTTATTTCATGACATAAGTAGGAATCACTTGTGTAGGTAGCTCGAGTTTCATAATCGCAAAACTTATATTTCTAGTAAGTAAGTAGACCACCGCTCATCTCGCTGTAAATTTCCGGTAGATGCACCCCTTTTGAACAAATTTTCATTATTCCCTTAATTAGTTAAGTCCAGGCCAAAAAGGTTTTTGTGCTCCACTTGCATTGAGGCGACGATCAATAAATAACCTACAGCTGTTTATATGAACAATTGATTTGTTTCCGTAGTCTATGAATTCCAAAGAATGTTCAACAAATTTGTTTTTAGATTTCATCGATCGTCGGTCAATTACGTAACTGAAGTTCAGCCACCAAATATGCAAAACACTGACTTTGAATTTACAACTTCGAGGAAACCTTAGAGCATTGATCTTGAGTATTGTCAGACGAATTATTATTTCAATTCCTTTGCTATTAATCGTGTTAACTTCAACTTGTACAAATGTGTTATGAAAACTTTGACTAACATTTGCAAGTTCAGATGGTATATTCCACTTTTGTATACTTCCACCAATATATTTAGGCCGATAATGAGAGATGTAAATTGTGAAATGTGTAAAACACATCCTGTACTGTAGTCACAGATTTCTCGTCGTGTTCAAAATCATAGTCAAACCTTTGCTCTCGAGGAGCAGGCTGGGTTTCGTTCTGGTCGAGGATATATTGATTATATCTTCACCCTCCGCCAAATGTTAGAACACCGCCACACTTATCAAAGGCCAACAATCTTAGTGTTTCTTGACATCAGGGCTGCCTTCGATTCGTTGGACAGGACTGTTCTCTGGGATTGTCTATTGAAGAAGGGTGTGCCTGAGGAGTTTATTAACATCTAAAAGCCATATATACAAACACCTCAGGTAGAGTGAGGGCATACGACCACCTCTCTCCTTTGTTCCATTCTAGCAGTGGGGTTAGGCAGGGTTGCCCAATCTCACCACTCCTCTTCGACTTTGCCATCGATGACATTCCGGAAACAGCTCTGATGGATGTAAGTAATGGTGGTGTGGATCTGTTGCCTGGAGAAAGACTTCTCGACCTTGAGTATGCGGATGATATTGTCTTACTGTGCGATAATGCCCAAGGCATGCGATCCGCACTTAATCAGTTGGCAATCAGTGTCCGTAGGTATGTTATGTGCTTTGCACCTTCGAATTGCAAAGTACTTCTACAAGACTGGCAGGATTCTAATTCTGTACTCACCCTGGATGGCGAGCAGATAGAAGTAGTCGAGAATTTCGTGTATCTAGGTAGCTGCATAAGTGCTGGTGGGGGTGTGAGTGATAAGATCAATGCACGGATAGTGAAAGCCAGAGCGGCTTATGCCAATCTGGGCCACCTATGGCGCCTTCGTGATGTTAGTCTGGCTGTAAAAGGTCGGATCTACAACGCGTCAGTGAGAGCAGTTTTGCTCTATGCTTGTGATACCTGGCCTCTCCGAGTTGAGGACGTTAGACGACTCTCTGTGTTCGATCATCGTTGTCTCCGAAGGATTGCTGACATTCAGTGGCAACGCCATGTTAGTAATGCAGAGGTTCGGCATCGTATGTTCGGGCACAGAGACGATAATGCAATTGGTGTCACCATCTTGAAACACCGACTTCGGTGGCTTGGACATGTTCTCCGAATGTCGTTCCAGAGAATTCCACGTCGTGCATTATTTGCCGACTCTGGGACTGGTTGGAAAAAGCGGAGAGGTGGTCAGTGCATGACATGGTGTCGTGGCATGAAAGAAAGCTGCAAAGGACTGGCTTTTGTCGGTCCTTCACGACTCCCTGGTTGGGGTCTGAGAGATGGTGCTACACAGTGGCTAGAGACGTTATCAGATATGGCTCAGAATAGAAGCCAGTGGCGATCCTGCTGTAACCTTCTTTTACTTTCTTCATAAAAAGTGGTTGTGTCTTCCTAAACTGAAAGAATTCTGATTGTACCTTTCCGTTCCCTCATTATTACTACACTACCTTACACCAACCTCTTCGTTATTGTTCTCCTTTTTTTACGCTCCTTACCTTTTTTTCTCTTCGAATTCTCATCGTTTTGTGTGGCGCATATATATTGGCGCTCTCTTGTACCAATATTTATGTGTTCAAATAATAATAATCAACTTTGCTCAATAAAAAGATATTTTGTTTATTTTAGCACTAAACGTGGTACACAGTTTTCAATCTAGTAAATTGTCAATTTATTCGAGCTCTAAATGTTGGTGATGTAAAAGTATTGCTCTTAGCTAAACCTGATATTTGCCATTCACTAATATGACTAAAATCATTTAATACTATTCATATTTTCTTTTTACTCTATCTTTTCAACAGTACGCTCTATCGTGTACTGGCGGCAACCAATTGTAACAGGCGTCATACTGACTCTCTTGCTGATTGTCGAATTTAGTTTTATGTGTCTTTCTGCAATCTCCTTCATTGCTTATGTCGGATTAGCCCTTCTTGTTTCCGTTAACTTATTGCGTATGTATTATCACTTTGTGGCTAAAACAGAAAATAATTTTGTCAGGTCAGTTCTAGTGTTTTAAAGGTAATTATAGTAAGTTTGTATTTGCGTATAACAATCCATTCAACAATGAGGTTGTTCGTAAAATATGTAAATGAAGTTATACTCTTGGTGTTAATATTTAAAATATATTTTCATACCCAAACCGAAACTTCATAGTGCTAAACTAATCGGGTTTGTTTGGTTAAAGATGAATGCTTTAGATAAAAAAATTGAAATATCCGTTAGTTTTCTACTTATTTTAAATTTCCATAGCAATCCTTAAAGTATAATCTGGACAAACTTCATTCACTTTGTTACTGTACAGCTATTAAGCACGATTTTAGGTTAATAACATGCATTGGCTGTCGATGTCTAATCGTAGATTCGTTTGTAGCATCGTTCATGGTTACCGAAATCTTAAATTTTACAGTTTAAATAAATAAACGGAAGTTGTAAGTCGACTCATGAAACAATCATTTACTGACTGAAATACTAGAAAGACGTATTACATATATTCAGTCAATACCCAGATTAATGTTAAGTTCTGGGTACTATAGGTCAGCAGTGACCATACACATATGTCGTGTCCATCTATAAGTATATTGATCAACAGATTGAGCCTTGTTGCGAAATACAGGCTTCCTGGTTTGAATCTTAGAGATACTCATGATTAACTGTTAAAGATATTTCAGTGAATCATATGCACATTTTACTCATTTATCCCCAGGACATATTCCATATCTTCAAGTTCTCTATAGTTTCGGTTGATTTCCATGTCAAAAAATATTAATGCTTCTCTTACAAATCTAAGGATTATTGACGACTCGTATGAATCACTTATTTAACATGGTAGAAATCACAATACAATATATATTTATATTTTCCTTAATAGGTATTTGTAAATTTTACATACTTACATCCTTTCACTTGGCATATCATAATTCTAATCTTAACCAACTTAAGTAGATGTTTTTGTTTCACTTAAATGTAGGGAATATCTAGAACGAGAAATCACTGTGCCACAAGATAAAGCGGAGAAAGTTTCTCGACGTCTCACCGAAGTTTTAAACAAAGGGTTAACACGCACTAGAGAAATATTCTTACTCACGGACCCCGCCGCATCTGTGAAAGTATGTTTATTTCATATTGATTAACCTTAAAATGAGTATATAATTGATGAATATTGTCAATTTTTCGCTGTTGAATTCCTTCCAGCGTTATTTAATGAGATATCTTCCTTACCCGACCAAACAAAATTTGTTTCACAAGTGCATAAACCAGTTTGTAGTACTGAAGTAACCACTGTTTTCGAATTAGATTTCATTACTTCTGGACCGAAATGGTATCATAACACTGAAAAGTGGTCGTAGTTTGACTAAAATAATATCTATGATTTTCAATCAGTTTATTTCATTTATCTTTTCATTAGATTACTTAACGACTATTTTGGCCTCCAATTATTCAATGTGCTGCGAACGTATTCAACTGAAGCTACATTGAATTCTCCGCATAAATCCATGCATTTGACCTTCTTGTCTTCGTAGATTATCACACTTTCCACCAGAAAATGATTTGTTCAGTCTACAGATCTCATATATTGATACTTTCTTAAATTATATATTTCAAAGTTCGGTGCACTATACATGATTTAACTTAATAACCAGTTATCTATTAAATCCAAATACTAGCACTAACTTAGCTGTGACTTAATGGAATAAGTATAATTTTAAAACATTTTTTCAGTTTACATCCCCATACTATGCCTACTTTGATCTGGACAACCCCTTGACGTGTAAATAAGATATTAGTGGATGTGTGGATAAACTTCTGACCAGTCCAGAAATATTCGAATCAGAACTTGTCGGGACTAGTTTTTATAATTATCTCGGCATGTCATTCTCATGTCATACACTACATATACTACTACAAACCGACAGTGCATATTTTTTGTATATTTTCAGTTCGCTGTACTGTTATATCTACTGACATACATTGGTGCGCAGTTCAACTTCCTAACTTTATGCATACTATGTAAGTTCCTTTTTAATGATAATCCAGTTTTATGCATCCCGAAAAGCTATTCGCTTTTTTTGTTTTTAGCTCCAAACATCAGAATAACACTGAGAGATTGATATCGGTTTCACATACTTTCATATCTCAGAGGGAAATTCCCATATTGTTTCACTATAAGCTAAATGTTGCGGTACGTCCCAGTAATGGCAGGGGTTTGCTAAAAACACAAACCACTTTTTATGTAGACATCTCTCTTTATTTTTCACAGTCCGCAAATTTATAATAATAATATTCCAAATGTTAAACGCATACTGTACAAAATGTCCAGTGGCTCACAATAGCTTTGAGTCCATAGTTTTATCTACACATAGTCATATGTTTTTTTTCTCACTGTTTTGGTATTCTAACTAGCTGTACTTTTACAACATAGTACCAGATTAATGTCACTCATTGTTCTTCTAATTTTGGTCCTTTTTTGTTTCCATTGCAGTCACTTTTGGCGTCTTTTGTGTGCCGAAGTTTTATGAGCGCTACCAAGTAAGTTTTTCCCCCAGAAATTACATATATACCACGTAATGAAATTATTAACTAAACTATGCGTGTTAATATGTTTGTTATGTGCCTGATCGTACGTTGTAGCTGACTGACTGAATATGTTTATTATCTGGTGATCGACGTATATCGAACAATGTGATGTTAAACTTTATCTCGTGATTTCGAGTTGTCATTTGATCGCTTTTATTTCTCAACATCTATCATCCCTCTTGGTTGAGCTCATTTCATTTATATATTTGAACACATAAACATTAGTACAAACGGTCACCGAATACATATGCGCCACACAAGTCGCTTGATTTGTGTATGGGCTGTGATACTGCTCGGGTGCTAAGATCGAAGCAGGTGGTTTTCTTCCGAAGCCTTCTACCTAAAGGTCTGATCCACAAGGCAGTGGAGCAACATCAGGAGATGCAGTGGCATAACAGCCGGTGACCAATAATTGGTTCATACGCCATTTGTTCCCTCAGAATCCTGGAGCCCATGTGCACCATTGGTTTGGAATCAGTGTTTTCCAACTCCCCTAGGTGAATCCTCTATATCCATCAACCCAGTTAAAGCGCCGGACATTCGCTTTTTGTAAACAATACCCCCGCCGTGAGAACGTTCGTTTACCAGGTGCAGATCCGTATATTTAGTTTCGAGCCTCACTTTGTGTGGAGACCAGTGACACTACCTCGTTGCTCAGACTAAAATAGGTGGAGCAACCTTCGAACCTGGGGCTTGTCAATTGAAGCTCAAATGTCGTAGCCACTTCAGTTTACAATATTTTAACGTTTTACCCATATTGCGTTAACCGTCTTTACTCTTTTGTTAGTTTTAATTGATTCATCATATTTACGTTTCTCCTCAAGGACATGACCTCTTGATCATAGTGTATTTCTAGCACCCATCATTATAAATATACCTAACCCAAAGGTTTTTCATACACTGTCTAAATATGACTTACGTATATCTCTTTGTTACCTAAATTATGCCGAAAGTTTATAATGCACTCATCTATTAAACTTTTGGGTATTTAGAGATATTCAGAATCCTCTGTTTCAAATGTATCGCGACCATTATTCAGAGATGTTCATGTTTGATTCTTTTTACTCACGGATTTAATATGATTATGAACTTGTGCTCACAAATGCAGGGAATAACAGTCTATCCGATGATTCCGTCTGTCCAATGGAAATTATTGCTATAATTGTAGATTTAGCTGAGCTTTTATGATAATACATTACTAATTAGTTATACTCGTTTTCATCTGAGAGATTTTCTATTTACAATATTTCTGGTATAAAACAGACTTAGTCTTTAAGTTGAAGTATTATTTCTCAAAATAATTTAAACAGGTTGAACTTTGAATTCATTTTGTGTCAGTCTTCCTGTTTATTGATATAATGGTAATTTTCAGAACATAGTTGCAGGTTCAAGGATTCTTTTCACCTAGTTCAGATTTAGACAGCTAGATACTATCATTAGGAGCATGTACACATAAAAGCACTTAGTTCGAAGTTCAGTACATGTACCTAGACTTAACACATAAGTTATGTTAACACTATTTTGTAATGCTGATTGCAACATAGTTAACCAGATGCGTTAATTCTTCATCGTCTAGATTTTATATTCCAGTACTTCGTTCCACCACACTTTTTCATTCCTTCTCGAACCATATTATCGCTGTTTATTCCCTCCCATTATAATTACTTCCACATTATATCCATTTCTTTTGAATCCATCTTGTTAGTTTCATTTTGTTTCTTTTCTTTGTCTTCTCCCACATTCTAAGATTCTGCATTTCTCATAAACTTTGCTTGTTTGTTTATTTCACTAGTTTATATTTTTTGGGATTACATCTCCGATCTTTCATGTTTTCTATTACCACTGATGCTGTTACTACCTCTACTATGGGATTTGACCTAATAATTCCATCTGTCCGTGCTTATGCGGCATGGCCCATTGAACCGATGTACGTACGCGCCAGGTTCTACGTTGCAACTGACTGTCTGTCTTTCTGATGTGATATGTCAATATGTCCCGGGCTATATGTTAATTATTACTGGATGACTATAAAAAAGTAATTCTCCATGTTTTTTGAGGTGGTAAAAACTCTCTTTTTATTTGTGAATTCCAGCCGGAAATCGATAAAATGATTGAGCTAGCTAAGTCAAAAGTAGATATGGTATCATCGCAGTAAGTCACTCTTTCACTGATAATATTTTGATAATTTCATTTTAAAATTATTATTTCTGTCAGTTCCTATTTTGTTGGAATTGTTATGTAGTCGAATTCTGCGCCAAATTTATTGATTTCAACCATTGGTTCATTACATGATTAATGTCCAATGTATTGTAAATATATCGATTCACTACTGGTCTGAAGAAAATCGATTCACGTTTGTGAATAGCTAGCTTAGCTATCGATTAAGTAAATTAAATTATATAACAGTAAAGTTGATCAGTTTGTAGCGATCATGATAACTGTAATTAGTGTGATGCTGAGTAACTTTCCATCTGAATATGGACAATGTGTGTACTATTTCTTCTTCCACTGGTATTTCGAAGGCAGATTTGCCAAGGTTTTAAATATGAGTTCTTTTTCACTATTCTTGCTTCTCCTGATTGATACTTAGAAATTAAATTAATTGCATCATCACAACATATGATATCGTTCTAAAACATTCTTGGTGTATAAATAAAAATAATATATTTGTAATATCCCAATGAGTAGAAAATTGGATTTTTCTGACGTTTCGTGGCTTAGTGTAAGTCACTTCTTCAGAGAATAAATAACCAAATTAAAATTAATCCAAGTTTAAATAGTACAATGGAACAATGCAAGAATAATATTTGATCAATCAAAAACAGGTCTGGACAAGTTGATGTATGTCATTTCTGTCACGGTGATTCATAAGTGATAAGTATGTAAATTTGTGTATGTATGTGTGTGTGCATTGTTAAAGAATGAAAACTGTGTGACCTATATGGTAAGAAAGGATAGAGTTTAAATTTGTAATATGATAGTGTGAAATTGTAAATACGATCAGACTGAATGGTTAGGATAGATGGTCCAAGTAGGATGTATGGTAAGGCCTTCTTTTCTATTGAGAGAAGTGGGATTAAGCATTATATGGAATGCCTCAGCTACCCTCCTTTCTTGTAGTTGGAAAAGCCTTTTTGCAATATTTGATATTTTTAAAATCGATTTGGTGTATTATTTAACTGCAATTGTTTACACCAGACATTTCTTTTATATATCTGACAAAACGAAACCCATTTTGAAAACGAGCTACAATCTGATGATAGTCTGGCATCCAGCAGTTCTCATTTTTTTCATCAATTCACCATACTGTATAACCTTTATCCTTTGTCATCGATGGTATTTGTTCAATACCCGACATGGTTGAAACTACACACCGGTCACGGCTTCTCATTAAAATTTTGGGGATTTCTTGTTTACGTCAAACACTAATAAGCCCACTGACTATTATTAGTACTAACCTTAAATGTATCGTCATCAGACATGTTCTAATACCTATCGTATATAAATTGTTTGTAAGTAAATATCCCTTTATATGCATAGTGAAGCCTTGACTAATTAGTTTTTTTTCTCAGGGTTAAAACGCATCTCGAAAAGTTACCAATTATTGGCGGTGGTCGAAAGGAAAAAACACAATAAGTTGCCTATTTTCCAACTACAATGATCATACCGAGTCGTTCCAAATTCTATGAACAACGATAAATTTTTTCCAAAGCTAACTTACAATAATTCTTTTTCTTATATAAATATGACAAATGAAACTGTAAAGCATGTAAGAAGTATAATAGTTTTGTGCTCTTCCTCTCTCTAATTTATATTACGTAAATTTTTTCTACCAATTTTCATACTTCATACTTTTATGTTTAAATAAAACTAACTCCTTTCAAACCTCGTTATTCATCTCATAAAGAGAAAATTTATGTTGTCATAAATGTTTGTCAAGATGCTTTTTGTAGTTGGTTTCTGCTTCAAAACCCCAAGTTTATTTGTTTGTGTAGAAGGAAGAGGAAATTGGATTGCAAGAACTGCTCATTCTTTTGTTTAACTGATCAGTATTCACCGTCATCATCATCTCTTCTTTTTTCCACTGTGTTTAGATTACTATTTATTGTAATAAATTTCTGATTTCTTTCTTTTTACACCATTAAACAAAAAACTTCCTATCATATTATTTTCAAGCGTTTCTCGGGATTTTGTTTTCGTATAGTTAAGCAAAACTTTGTACCTATGCTAATAGTGTTTGCTTCTAGCTATACACAGACAAGCAGCTTCAGTCAGTTTAGCGTACTTTCTTTGACTTGTGTCGTTACTTCTCTCCATGGTGAACCCCATTTGTTGTTGTTTACAGTTTTTATTGTCTTGTTTATCACTCCTTTTTGCTGGCTTCATTTATATCTGGTTATTCGTTATTTTACCGTGTATCACTCACCACTCAAATGTGTTTTTTCCCGTTTTTTGCGAAGAGCATTTAATGACACATTAGTAATAACACACTATCGATGTTGCATTGTAATACTGACTGTTCGACTGGTTATTGTTAAATGCTGAGTGAAATGTCGGTCTTTTTTGTAAGCGTTTTTTAATTTGCATAATGCGTGTTCTCATTCGAAACCCTTTACCAAAAATAGATATGGTTCATAATTTATTGCATAACTAGTGTTGTTGCTTCTTTATTAGAAAACAATCTTTTAATATTAGTCTTTTTTGTACCCTGTTTAATTATGCTTACTTTTAAACTTCTCGGCTTAGGTTATTTCAACTGGTGTCATGTAGTATCTGTTTGTTTAAAAACAAGAATGGAATTATTTGTGCTTGGAAACAGATCCATTTATTTACACTCACAGGGATTTAATGAATTACAGTATAAGTGGACATATCTGGATACTTGAAGATGTGTACAAGTGTATTTGTTTCTGACGTCTTGTTGATGAGCATAATTCAATTTCCTCTTTCATCTTATTTGATTTTTCATTTGAAAAGTTGGGTTTTTACGGTGATATGTTCTCAGAAGGTATGTAAACAGCTTTAAATGATTGAAATGAAATCTCCAGTGAAAATCATGCGATGTTATACAGTACCCGCCCACTAAACAAATGAAAAAGTGCCTAGAAATACTAGGTATAACACTTTTATTAAACACTGAAAAAGGTTAGATAACTTAACACTGATGAATTTCTGATTGAACTTTGATATAGCCGATGATGATTAGAGTATTAAGCCTCAATTATTTGAGGATTTCTGTAGTTTATCGTTATTTATCAATAATATATAAGATTTAGCGCTATCACTGTTTGCTGTATTGCATACTTCTAATTCGGACTTAATTTGTATAAACTAAACTGTCCATCCAGTGAAAACCGATCTCGTATTAAACTTTACAAAGACATTGTATGTTCTGACTGAATTTATTTTCTTGGCTTCTAATATTCTGCATATTTTAAAAACAAACCAGTTAAAAGGACATATTTCTGTTTTTCAAATGTAATATTAAAAATTACTGAGTTAATCAATATGTTGCACTTGTTAATGTTTACATGTTCAACTTCATTCCTCTTGTAAGCCAACAGGATTGGATAACGTATCGACCTATTGTCATTTGTTTGACAATATATATCTGAACTTTGATTATACAGAACTATGTGAAAGAACTGTATTCAAGTTTAATTGTCAAGATAGTTTCAAATACAGTTACATTTTTGTTACTTCTCTAATTATTATTAATTCCTAACAGAATTCAGTTATTGTCTATCATAATCACATCTTTTCTTAAAAGAAAAAAACTAAATATGGTTAGTTCATTTGGATCAATAGTTATTGTTTCTACGTTGTATAAGGAAGGAAGTTTATATGACGCCAATTTAAATGGCTTAATATGCACTATAAAATACCTAAATGAGTGCTCCTATTTATACAAAAAAATTATTTACAACTAACTTCTAATTAACATGTTTGAAGTGGTGAGTTGATATTCGAATCCTGTATTTGACGGAGGTCAAAGTTCAATTAATTTACTAATAGTGTCTAAATACATAATGCTGCTTACTCTGACCGTTTGCCAAATTTATTTTGGTCAGCTAATGAATCACTAAATTTTGTCTATTGACTAATTTCTGTAATTAATATTTTTATGGTTGAACAGTTTTTCGACTGACCTGTAAAAATTTCTATCGAAACTATTTCTGTTTTGTTGATTGATTTATGAGTAGAAATTCGTCCGGGATTGACTGAAGCTGTGAAATAATAAGTGTGAATGTCTAACCAAATGGTTTAAAAGTATCATGATCTGAAGTTCCTTTGCTTGAGTCCATCAGAAAGCAGGATGTTCTGCTTAAAAGTTTCAGACTAATGTAAAAGGTTTGTCAAATACTTCATGGTCTTCAATGATTCTATAGCTATCTATCGATTCGTAACATAAACTTCTTTAGAGTAATTAAATGTTTAACAGGAATTAATGGTTATTCGTCATAGTTTGGAATTGACAAAGAGAATAACTGAAAACAAAATTGGATTGAACATATAGTTAGTCAGTTAATCGAATAGTATATATAATATATTATTATACATGACAAACTAACTAGGCTCTAACTGGTCTAGTTACAACACAACAAGATGAACACCGGATTCATAGCAGTGGTTATGTCAAAGGTGGTAATATATAAGAGAAAGATTGCATATAGAGATATAATACAAGAAGAAAGAATTGGTTCGTAGAAAGAAAGATATGAAGCGATTTTAATCTCTTAGTTTAAGGGAAGACAGGGAGTGTATACACCGACGCCATTGTGATCGATTCTGAGCCATGTCACCAAGAGTCTCCAACCATTGGTTACGATAGTCACGCGGACCCCAACCAAGTAGTCTGCATCTACCAACATGGCTCAGACTAGAAGTTAGTGACTTCAAGCACTGATGCCACGTTTTGGTTTGGCCGCCCCTAACTTTCTTCCAACCATCTCCAATACCGGTTAGCATTGCACGTCGTGGTAATCGGTGTTCAGGCATACGTAACACGTGGCCCAACCATCTCAGTCGATGAAGATTCATAACCTCATCAACTGATTTACCATCATTCCCTAATACCCTGCGTCTAACCTCACTATTACTTACCCGGTGATCCCAGCAGACGCCAGCAATATTTCTAAGGCATCTGTGGTCAAATACTAGTAGCTTACGAGTGTCTTCTACTCTTAAAGGCCATGTTTCGCTGCCGTAAATTAAAACAGAACGGACTGCCGCGCAGTATACTCGTCCTTTTATTGATAGACGGATATCTCGCCTTCGCCACAGGTGACGTAAGTTGGCAAAAGCCAAACGAGCTTTTCGAATCCGTGCTGAGATTTCGTCAGACACCAACCCATTAGGGCTGATCAGACTTCCAAGATAAGTGAAGTTGTCAACGCGTTCGACTACTTCACTCCCTATCCTTAGTTCAGGTGTTGACGCAGACCAGTCCTGAAGCAACAACTTGCATTTAGAGGGAGAGAAGCGCATTCCAAACATTCTGGCATTGTTGCTTAGTGCTACCAGAAGACTCTGCATTTTGTCAGCGTCTTCACCAAACAGGACTATGTCATCTGCGTATTCTAAGTCGATAAGTGGACCTCCTGGAAGGAGATCAATACCCGAGAATTCAGTCGACGAGAGTGTTATTTCCATCAATAGGTCTATGATGAAGTTAAACAAAAATGGAGAAAGTGGACAGCCTTGACGGACACCACTTGAGGTTGCAAAAGTAGATGACAGTTCGCCATAAGCTCTGACTCGACTAGTAGTGTTCGAGTAAAGAGCCTTCACAAGGTTTATGTACTTCTGAGGTACGCCTTTCAATGACAGACACTGCCACAGAATCTCGCGGTCTACAGAGTCAAATGCTGCTTTTAAGTCAAGAAAGACCACCATTGTCGGACGCCGATAAGTATGCCTGTGTTCTAGAACCTGACGAATGGTGAATATGTGGTCGATGCAGCCACGACCAGGTCTAAAGCCAGCTTGGTTCTCTCGTGTTTGCAGTTCACGAGTCTTAGTTAGGCGTCTGATAATTATCGAGGCTAGTATTTTAGATATTATATTAGTTAAACTAATCCCTCTGTGGTTGTCACAGGATGATTTTGACCCTTTCTTATATATTGGGACGATAAGTGATTGTGACCAGTCAGATGGGATAACGTCTAACTCCCAGATCTTAGCTAAAATATTAGTCAACCTAATCGCTAAAATTGGACCACCATCCTTAAAGACTTCTGGAGCCAGTCCATCTGGACCAGCTGCCCTTCCTCGTTTCAGATTAACTATAGCCTTTTGAACTTCAGCAAGAGTTGGGGGACCTACTTCAATGTTCCATTCACGCTGTCTGGGAATGGAGGGTAGTTGTAGAGTAGCTGAAGGCCAGCTGAACTGTTCTCTGAAATGTTCCGCCCATCGTTCTAAACGTCTGGACTGGGAGCAGATGAGAGTATCGCCTTTTTCCGAAATAATCTCACTTACACTTGACTTATTAATTCCAGTTTCTTTTATTAGTCTGTAAAGCTGTCTTGTGTTCCCTATAGTCGCCGCCTTTTCCATCTCTTTTGCTTTCGTTGCCCACCACTGCTCACGGTCGTTCCTTAGACTTTTTCTTAACCTAGATCTGATTTGTTGTCGCTCTTCATCATGTTCGGAACCTGATGGGACGAGTTTGCGAGAATCCATCAGTGTGATAGACTTTGAAGAAATCCACTGGTTCTTTGTAACTCTGTGGTTTAAGTCACTAATAGATGTCACTGCTGTTTCCACAGCTGCTTGTATGTCTTTCCAAGCAACATCTGGGTCAGCCTCGTCTTCAGAACTACCTAAGTGTGACCTCAGTTGTTCCTGGAACCTACTTTTGGTTTTCTCGTTACTCAACTCAGTTCTAATGGGTCTTTTTAATGTGAGCGTCCAGTGAGGCGCAAGCAGATGCGTGCCCGTATTAGGGCATGGTCGGAGTCCAAGCAGGTACTCCAGAATGAGCGACAATCTTCTACCGACCCTCTCCAACGATGACTGATGGCAATATGGTCTATTTGAGTCCATCGTTGGTTTGGTGTAGGGGGTCGCCATGTTAGACGATGTCTCTCCTTATGCTTAAAATTTGTGTTTGCTAAAAATAAACGATTGTCTGAGCATAGCTGCAGCAGACGATCACCATTATCTGTTCGCTGTGTCGGAATACTAAAATATCCACCTAAATGCCTTTCTGTTTGGTTTAAACTACCTATCTGAGCATTAAAGTCACCTGCTACGAGTACTATGTCTGAGCGTTTAGCTTTCTGAAGAAGTTCGGACAGCTTTCTGTAAAATTCATCTTTCACTTCATCTGAGCTGCAGTCAGTGGGAGCGTAGGCAGAAACGACAAAAAGGCAACGACGTGTGTCCCTATCCTTCCGAGTTCTTACGGAGCCGTTTAGCCGAACAGCACATAGACGACTGTTGACGGGGATCCACTCTAGCAGTGCTTGTTCGCCCTCATGCTTAGTGCTATGCCTACACCTGCCAGTCCACGAGAACTGGCCATCGGGTCACCAGATACACGAAGGGTGTATCTCGTTGGCTCTCCGTTTGCCGAGGTGAGGTCAAGTGAATGACCACACTGGAATCCTGTATGCGTGTTTCGGAGACACAGCATACATCA